AAAATTTTAATGAATGATTGAATAGTAATTTATTAAAAAAACTAGCTCATAGTTCTGATAGAACTATAGTTTTTACAATTCATTAACCAAGTGCAGATATTTATATGTTATTTGATTAAGTGATGCTTTTAGTACATGGAAAATTTATTTATTAAGGGAAGAGAGATAAAATGGTTGAATATTTTAAAAGCATTGGTTTTGATTGTCCAGCTCATTCTAATCCTTTAGATTATTTAATGAGTATCATGCATCATGAAGACTTAAATCATCCACATTATTAGACATTGTTTAACAATTACAATAATCAATTTTAGAATTAAATCTTAAATCAAATAGAAGAAATCTAAAAATAAACTATATAAAGACAAACAATCTAAACAACATTCTCATTTTAAGTGAAAGAAATTTTTAGAAGAGGAATGATTAATATGAAAAGGGATAAAGTTCTTGTTAGAGGTAGAATAATCATGACTATATTTATTGGATTATTAATTGGAGGAATATTTTGGACTGCTGGAAGTGAGCCAGGTTATAAAGGAATTTAAAGCACTATTGGAGTTTTATTCTTTTTAGTAATGAGTAGTTTTATGGGAGCTCTTAATCCTGTTATTATTTAATTTCCAGATGAAAGAGAGGTTTTTTTGAGAGAAGAAAACTCTAAACTTTATACTACTGCTGCTTATTTCACAGGTAAAAGTTCTGTTGAAATACCTTTTCTTATTATCTTTCCAATAATTTAATAATTGATATGTTATTGGATGATAGATTTAAATGATAAATCAGCAGATATTGTTATCATCAATATTATTATTTGTATACTTCTTGGTTTGAGTGGAAATAGTTTTGGTAATTCTTAGTCTTTATTATTTCTAGGATTAATGGCAGGATGTATGTTTACTGATGTTAAAGCTGCTTCAGGATTTCTCCCTGTTGTTTTAATGCCTTTAGTCATTTTTTCTGGTTTCTATGCTAATCAATCTCAATATATGGATTGGATTGGATGGATTTAATATCTAAGTCCTATGAAATATGCTTTTGAAGCATTAGTTTGGAATGAATTTGATTCAAGAAGTAATGAATTTGTTGGTACAAGCATTTAGAATAGCAGTCCTATTGACACCTATGATTTATCTTTAGGTTTATGGAAATGTTTAGTAATTCTAACTGCTATAATCCTTTTTTTCAGAATAATGGCAATGCTATTTTTATATTTATTAAGATAAAAACAACAATGATTTGTATGACATTCCTTTTTTCTTATTTATTACAATTTTAGATTTATAATAATATAACAATTGTAAAATTATATATTATTTATCAGATATTTATTATAAAGTAATATAAACTCAACACATCATGTCATTATTTGCCTCTTATGCAAAGTTGAAGAGAAAGACTTTTTGGGTAATGAGATATGTTGAGGTTACATCAGAAGTAAATACTATTATGATAATTCTAGGGAATATTGGTTTATAGAGATAGAAAAGAGGACAAACAAAATAAAGCTGAATTTCGATTAAGTAATTGCAAAGTGAAAGAATTATCAACAAATAATGGTTTTTAAATATAATTTTTGCATGGCGATGATTCATTGAAAATTATGGCCCATACAAATCAAGAGCATAAAAAGCTTGTCTAAGCCATTACCTAAATTAAACAAAAATCTGAATAAAAATAAGAAATCTAAGTTCAAGCACAAGAATAGCAGTAAATCAGATCAACCATTGTGCCTTCAATAATAATATAATAGGTAAAACCACCTACATTTCAACCTGACCAAGATTTGGTAAAATAGACTTAAGGTGATTAAATAAAAATGCAAGCATTGCAATTAATTAAGAAATTTGAAACTCATTAACTAACATTAATAAATGTGATTGATGGAATATTTTTTTATAAGACGGAAAAAACAGAGAAAAATAATGACGCAGTTCATAAAAAATCTAAAATTCTCAATTTAATTTAAGAAGAAATAAAAAATGTTGGATATTTGTTAACAATAGCAATAGCTATAATATTTTTTACTTTAATGTCGATATTGATCTATCTATTGTTGAGTTTAGTAGATAATCGAACATACACCAATAGTATATTGATAACATTAAATTTAATAATTTTACCATTGCTATTTCGTAATAAGAGTACCCCCAAAGAAGTGGAAAAAACACAATAGTTTCTAGTTTAATGTAAATGCATTATGAATGTGGATTATAATGCTTTAGTGTATTTAATAAGCAAATTTGAAATTAGAAAAGATTGGACTCCTAATCTATTGTTAATAAACAATGATAACAATTTGATTACTGCATTATATTAAAATTAAAAAGTAGAGAAGTTTAATCAGCTAGTGTTTTATGATGAGGATACATTTTATATTGTTGAGCATTTTAATTTACTAATCCTAAGGTTATTTGTAGTAAAATATTTGTTTGATGAAGAAAACATAGAAGTTAGATGTATAACTGATAACACTTAGATGCAAATATTACCGTGCCTTAAATAATTTACTAAAATTCAAAAGTAAAACCCAAAGAGTATTCTAATTGAATATCAAGCTTCTAAAGCATCATCAGATTAGATATCTGTAATTCAATCAGAAATAATTTATAAATTACCTGATTATTCAAAACTTACTCAATCTCCAAACTAATAACGTTAAAATGAACAATAAGTGCCATTAATTCCATCAAATTCTCCAAGATAAATCTAACAAATATAATAGTCACCTTAACAACCACTGTAACCATAATAACAATACCCTCCTGAAATCTAAAGGATATTTGATATGACTATTGAAGCAAAAAAATAATTAGATTCAGTTTATCCTCTAGGACCATCTTGGTAATAAAAAGATGATAAAGGAGGATTCTTGATTCATACTAGATTTGATGAAGCTACAGGTTAGACTATGAGCAGAGGTGAAGGAATTTTGCCTTATTCAATTTAAGAGATATTTGAAATCATAGAAAAGGTTGAGAGGAGAGGAGATTATGATTCTCTCTTTGATTCAGTAAATAAATTCAATTTATGATAGGGATATATGGTTAAGAAATTGGATCCTGACACAGGCATTGTATATTAAAAATTTAAAACAATTAAAATAGTTGTGAAATCTAGAGATTTTGTATTTGCTACACGAGTTTTTAGAGAAGAAAATAGATGGGTGGTTATTGCAAAATCTATAGACTATCCAGAATTACCTCCAATTAAGGAATCAGTAAGAGGAGATTTAAAAATTGCTGGATGGATTCTATAAAAAATAGAATAAGGAACCAAGACTTGCTTTATTACTATGGTAGATCCAAAAGGTTCAATACCAGCAGCAATTGTGGCAAGTTCAGCCAAGGAATAAGGACAATGTGTTGAAAAAGTAAAAGCTCTATTAGATAAGAGAAATAAGAAGTGAAATTAATTTAAAGTTTATAATTATAAAAATTCACGAATTCTTAAATTTATATATTTAATTTAAGAATTCCCACTTTCCCAAAATTAATTATTTATTATAAACTCAATTCTAATTTTAATAATATGTAAAAAATACACCCTGATTAAGAAATGAAAGGATTGAAGATTGTGAAATCTGCTACGACTAATGTTTCATCAAGAACCCTCTAGAATAGAAAAGGAGTAGATTTGGCTTTTGATGATATCCACTATAAAGTTTAAAATGGGAAAAGTAAACCATATAAAATATAATATTAGATGAAAGAGTGATTTTAGATCATGTATCAGGAATCTGTCCAGGAGGATAGATTACAGCAATATTAGGAAGTTCTGGAGCAGGAAAGACATCTCTTTTAAATGTTTTAGCCTGTAGAATAATAAACAATAAGTAATGTAAGCTGACTGGAGAATTGTATGCAAATCAGGATAAATATAATTATGAAAAATTTAGCTAGTTTGCATCTTATGTAATGTAAAATGATGTTTTATTGGAAACTATGACTCCTAAAGAAGCTTTCACTTTTGTATCTAGTTTAAAATACAACGATGAAGAAACTAAAATAGCAAGAGTTTAAGAAACAATAAAGAATATGAGATTGGAGAAATGTTAGAATAGTAGAGTTGGGGGTGCAATGGTAAAAGGTATAAGTGGAGGTGAAAGAAAAAGAACATCTATAGGTTATGAATTAGTTTCTAATCCAAGTGTGATTCTTTTAGACGAACCAACTTCTGGGTTGGATTCATTTACTGCTTTTTAAATTATGTAATGAATCTTCTTAATCATTTAGTCATTAATTACAATTATTGTGCAAAGATCAAGATAAAACTATAATTTTTACTATACATTAACCAAGTTCAGATATTTTTTTATTGTTTGATAGAATAATGTTATTAGTGTAAGGGAAACTAATTTATTAAGGAGATAGAAGTAAAATAATTAATTATTTCAAATCTTTTGGTTATGAATGTCCTACTCACTCAAATCCTATGGATTATTTATTATCGATTACTCATAGTGAAGATCCTAAAAATGTGGAATCATATCCTATTTATTTTGAAAATTATGAATAGCAATTAGCAAATTAAATAAAATAAGAAATTGATAATCGTAATTAGTCTGCTATAATATACAAATCATTAGAAACTACAATAGCATATTAAATTGGATTACTCACAAAAAGATGTTTTGTAAATTTTAGTAGAGATGATATGTAAATGAAAGCCAGAATTGGATCAGCAATATTTTAAGGATTATTACATGGAGGAGTATTTTGGGAGGCGGCAAAGAATTCAGAAACGATCTCAGATATTAGAAATATTTCAGGATCGTTATATTTCTTATGTGTCAATTTTGCTATTGGTTGTATGATGCAAGTAGTTTTAGGGTTTGCTGTTGAAAGAGAAGTATTTTTAAGAGAAGAAAATTCCAAATTATATTCAGCATTATCATATTTTATTGGCAAATAATTTGTTGAAGTCCCATTCTGCATACTTTAACCTCTTATCCTCTAAATAATATCTTATTGGATGATTAGTTATAACGATTATGATGTCTCAATAGTCATAATCAACTTTTTTATTTGCATTTTACTCTGTATTTGTGCAAATTCTATGGGTTTAATGGCTGGTTGTGCATTTAGGGATATTAAATTAGCATTAACAGCAGTACCAATTATTATGATGCCTGTTATCTTACTATCTGGATATATGGCTAATTCTAAGAATTTCCCAGTATGGTTTGGATGGTTATAATATCTGAGTCCTGTTAGATATGCTTATGAGGCAATATCTTTGAATGAATACACTCATCGCAGTTTCTAAATTGACCCCAAAAATTTATATGACTTTCATATAGGAATGTGGAATTGTATATATATTCTTATTGGATTCATCATTGGGTTAAGAATTTTTGCATATTTCTTTTTAAAAGGATTAAGGGAAAGATTATAATGAATTTTTATTTTGTATATAAAATGCAATATTTCATTTAAGTAGACCTTATTTATTAATCAAGACACGTATTTTTCCTTATGGCAATGATTAGCATGATCTAATTAGAACGGAACTGGGGTTTGTGATTGAATAGTATTAGCCATCAATTTAGAAATAAGTACGAAGATGTTCATTTTATTTGAAATTTAATTTTAATGGTCCTCCACTTTGACTTAATCTGGTAGCCTATCCTGGAATTAATCTTTCAGATCCTAATCCTAAAATGGAATTAAATGAGAGAATTTCTAACAGTCCATCAGAAAAAGAAGGGATATTAGAATATACCTTAACTTAACTTTGTGAAGCATTTATCCATATATTTTTCAAGCCTCCTGCATAAGAGTTAATATTCAAACATAGTAAATTAACTGGATTTCCAGGAACAACAATTTAATCTTTAAATTTTTAGATTAATCCATTTTCTAAATTGTCATCATCATTAATATGATGGATATTTTCAATAGATTGATTAACTTTAGGTGTTTTAAGAAACATCTTTTTAAAGCCTTCCCAACAATAAACAAATTTGTTACAACATTGATAAGGCGTTCTATTTTTATCAAAACCAAATCCAATTCTTGCATCAACTCCTATGCTAAAATAATTGATCATTTATTTATAATATCTTTGATCTTATAATTATAGTTTAACTTCACCAACTCCATTTTCATTTCTCTTAATTTCACTAATAAATCCAATCTTTTTATATGAATATATCTAGATACATCTTATAGTTTGATTTCAACATCCCAAACATCAAAATATGATTCAACACCTGAATTCCATTATTCAACATATCCTTTCAACACTTAATTGTCTATACCTATAACATCATGAGGTACAGAAGTGCCCCATCCTAAAGTGTTTGCAAAATCATTTCCAGTTCCAAAAGGAAATGGAATTAAAATACATTTATGTATATTAACTTCATGCATTAATAACAATTCCACTATCCACATTATTGATCCATCTCCTCCTGCCATTACAACATAGATATCATCTACTTATTATTTCATTATTTGCTATAATCCTGCTTCTCTTGATGTACTATTACAAATATTGTAAAATTTCACTCTACAAATACTCTCCTTTATGTTGAAACTAAGCTCTTTTTACTATCATATAATTGAGTTTACATCAAGTTCTAAGAATTGCTATCCTCTATTTCCACCACTTCCAGAATTATAAAACAAGTAGTAGGTATATTCCATATATATTAATTATATATATATTCAAATTGTATTATGTCTTTTCAATACTAACATCTTTAAATTATTTATTGACATACTAAAATTATTGTTTTAACTAATTTAAATTTCATTAACAAATAAATTTAATTGAAGATGAGCTACACTCCGTTATAGTAGGAAGAAATTAGAGCGATTTATCAAAGAAATCAATAACTTGAGATGCAAGTTAAAGCTTCTCTTAATGAAGTATAATAACTTAATCAAAGACTATAAATGTAAGAACAAGCTTTCAAATAATCATAATTATAATTGAATTAACAATTACAAAAGGTTTCATAAGATTTATCCATTAAAACTTAGTAGTTTACTAATTCTGAATAACAATTCAAAAGACAATTAGATCATGCTAATGAATAATTGAATATCGTTAAATAATAATATCAATTGAGAGTAGACTAATTATCATAAGAATTGAAACTAAAAACCACTGCCTTTGATAAAACATCAAATGAATTGTAGGCTGCAAAACATGAAATTTTGTTGTTATAGAAAAATGCTGAAAATTTGAATGTAGCCAAATCCTAACAACTTGTTTAATAAGATGCTAATGCCAAAAGAGTCATAGATGATTTAAATGATAAATTGAGAACAATTTCAGTCTAATCTCAAAAATAAATAGAACAATTACATTAAGAATTGGTTATTAAAAAATAAGAGATTGATCAACTTAATAAAGATCTTACATCTAAAAAGAATGAGATCTATCAATAATAATAAAAAATAGAAACTTCAAATATTGCTAAAAACAATTAGATATCTTAATTAGAAGCCTTGTCTAAAAAACAATTACAAGAATATAATGATAAACTTAATCAATTTTAATCTTAAGCATAAATGAGGATTGATTAACTTAATCAAGAAATTAGTAATAAAACTGCTTTGCTTGAAAAGGCTAATTAGGAAATAGTACAAAAGAAATAAGAAATTTAAGCTAATAATTAACATTTTGAATAAGTTAGCCATCAATATTAATAAAAAATATAGGAAATGATGGGAAGATTAAATGAACTTTAATTGTAAGCAGAGAAAGAATAAAATCAATTTGGAAGAACAAAAGAAGATTTCTAAGTAAAAGTTTAGAATCTTTCAAGAGATTTAAGTATTTAATAATAATAAAGTACTTAATTTGCATAGGCAATGTAAAAAGAAAACTAATAATTAAAATAAGAAATTATTAATTTACAATAATAAATAGCTCAAAAACATTAATAATTTAGTGAATAAAAATCATAAGCAGATGCATAAATTAATAAATTGAATATAGAAATAAGTAAATTGAAGACTGATTTAGCTGTTAAGTAATAATAACTAGAATCAAGTGAGTAGTAATTTAATTAATATAAGAGTACAACAACCAAATAAATAGACTCGATGATTTAATAGTTCGAATAAAGGTAAGGTGAAATTCATAAAGATAATGAAGTCTAATCAAATAGATTACTTTCTTAAAACAAATAAATGCTTGATAAAACAGTAGAAGAGCACAAAAAATAATTAGCATAATTAGATAAATTTTGGAATGATAAGTATAAGTAGTTGAGTGATTAAGGATAGCAGGATTCATAAAGAATAACTCAGTAATATTTAACCATTATTGCTGAAAATGAAAAAAAGTTTTAGAATCTTTTTAAAAATTAGGAGTAATCCTATTTATCTTAATTGGTTGCATAGGAATAACATTTTCAATTGCAAATAGATTAATTATCAAATTAATTAAGGTAGGTGAGTGGTGAAAAGGAATCTTTACATACATAATTAGTAACTGCATAAGCTTAGTTAAGAGATTTTGATTAAAAGGTTCGAGAATTACATTAACATGGTTAGACAAAATCAGAGTAGGCTTATTTGTAGATAAATGGATTGTAAAGTAGTAAGGAAGGTAAAATATAAAATTGATTATATTAGAATTGTTTGCATTTATAAAAGAGAAACAAATTGAGTATGATGCGAAAGTGTTTGAATTGTAATAATAATTGTAAAGTTTGGGTGGTAATAAGGAAGCATTAGAGAAAGAATTAAGTTTAGAGAGAGTAGCTAAAGAAGGTTTGAAAAAGGAGATTTTATAAATAACAAATTAATAAAAGATGAAAGATACAGATATTAGAAATGAAATTACTGTAAAGAATTCAGAAATAATTAAATTAAATAAAGAAGTTGAAAGATTAGATGGTTTATTTAAATAAGCTACACTTGAATTAAAAAGAATAAATGAGTAGAATGAAGATTTGAAATTGATTGATGATTTTTAATTAAAGGAAAAAGATTTGGAGATCTCTAAATTTAAATAGATTGAGATTGAATTAAAGAATAGAATTTAATAACTCTAAAAACAATTATCAAATTAAGAATGGTAATTATCTTAAGAGAATATAAAATTGAAATAATAAGTTAAAGATCTAAATAATGATATTAATATTTTAAACACAAGAATTAATATGCTCAAAACACAAAATAAGGATGAATCAGAGAGGTTCTAGGATTTATTAAAATCTCACGATGTTGAACTTGAGAGTTGGGCAGAAAGATACAAAGATCAATAATAATAAATAGAAACTATGGCATAATAATTATTTGCAGCATAATAATAAACAAAATATAAAGAATAGATTATATTAGAATATGATAAACTAAAACAAGATTTTGATTTATTGAATAAACAATATCAAGCTTTATAAGAGAATAGTTTAAGGAATAGTAATATTAAGGAAAATGCTAAAAATGTGGAAATATAATAATTGTAAGAACATTATGAATAGTAAGTAATTTAACTTTAAAAAGAAATAGAATAAATGAGGGAAAATAAAATCAATGTAAGATAAGATGCTTCAGTAATTGATTTTAGTGTGCAAATTACTGCATTAAATGATCAATTAATGAAGAAAAATAATGAAATCACTAATATTAGAATGCAGGCCAATAGAACTATTATGGAAAAAGATAATTAAATTATATAATTATAAGAACATTTAGAAGAATTAATCTCAAAATTTGATATTATTGAACGTAATCAAACAAATTAGGCTGAAGCTATTGAAAAAGCAGAAAATTTAGAATTAATCATGAATGAAAAGGATAAGTTTATTATTTAACTAAAAAAAGAATTATAGAATCACAAAGATTAAATTTTAGAACTAGAAGAGTAATTAAAAATTAGACAAAATTCTCTTGATATGATATAATAATAAGCTTCATTAATTTCTGAACTTAAATCATAAGTAGAAAAAAGATAAGGAGAGAATCAAAATGTTGCTTAACTCAAACCAGTATAATAATGTTTTACTAAAAGTATTAGAAGTTCAACTCATCGAATGAGTGGAAAAAAAAGTTAAGTTGAAGAACCTTAATAAGAAATCATTTCTTATGTTTAAAACATGAATGAAATCTCATTTAAATTATAATCTACTAATTAACAAATTATTTCAATTGTATAACCTCAAATTAGCGAAACAAAATAAATATTGAGATAATCATAAGAGGAATAACAGTAGAAAAATCTATTAAATCAATCTATTATGATCTTATAGTAGGAATTGAAATAAACTAAATTAAATTTATAAAGTGAATAATAAGTTTCTACTCAATTAAGATAGGATTTATCGTAAGCTAATTCCAAAATTGAACTATTGTAACTTGAACTATCCTAAATGAAAAATTCATCATAATAAAATGGTATTACTATTTTACTTACTTTTAGATATTTAAATTAATGAAAGATTAAACACAATGAGTTTGAAAACTTATGAGTCCAATATGTAAAATTTACAATCTGAAAATCATGATTTATAATAAAAATCCGAAGAATAAGAATAGTAATTGAATAATTAAGCATAAAGAATTAATGAACTTTAAAATGAAATAAAAAAACAGAGAGAGTACATATAAGAATTGAATGATTCATAAAATGCTAAAGATAATTAAATTTTTGAGCTAAAAAGTATTATTGATAGATTATAAAATAATCTTAAATCTGAATAATCCATTGTTAGATAGAAGTAATCTGAAGTTAAATAAATAACTTATTAATAAGAATAAATATAATAAATGCTCTAATAAGAATATCAGGACATAAAGAAAAACAATAATGATTTATCATAATAAAAACTGAAATTAGAATTAGAGATTTAAGAATTAAAATCATAATTATAATAGGCTTAAGTCACAGAGTAACTTTATGAAAGTAAAATTACAAAATTAAATACAGAAGTAACTTAAGTAAGAGAGAAACTTGTAAAATTTGAGTAAATTTAAATTGAGTAAAATAAGACAATAATCAATTAAAATATATAATTATAATATTAATAACAGATAGAAGAGTTATCAATTAAATTAGAAAAATAATAATAATTAAGTAATTAAAATTAATAGTAATTAAATAACCAATTATAGATTCTCAATGAATAATATTAAAATATTCTTTTCAAATTTGAAAGTAGTTAAGAATAAGTTAAATCTTTATAAAACAGTCTTGCACAATAAAAGTAATAATATTTAAGTGATATGAATGAAAATTCATAGATACTTTCTTTAAGAAATTAAGAAAATTAAAATTTAAAGATGTAATTAGAACATTTTAATCAATAATTGAATGCATACAAAGAATCTAAAACTGATGTTTAGAAATGGTAGAACCAAGTAGAAATATTGCAAAAGCAATTGCGTGAAGAAAAACTATAATAATAAGAGTAAATTATTAATTATATAATATTAGCTTGAATAACTAATTGTAAAATTAATTATTTTAATTTTAATAATCAAAAAGAGAATGGTAAGACTTAATATAAAAATTAAAGGAGGACAATAATTAATTATAAACAAATTTGAATAGAGTTTTAACAGCTAGATCAGACAAAGAATGTATCGATACCCATTAATAAAACTAAAACATCCAAATAACAACAAATACAATTAAAACTTAGTAATTCAAAAGCAATACTTCTGAATTATCTTAAGAAAAAATATTGATAGAGTTATAAATAGCTTAAGAAGAAAATGTTAAATTAATTAGTTAATTGCAAGTGTTATAATTAAATAACAAATAATTAAATAAAGAGATTTAAGATTTTGATGAAAAATAAAAATAATTAGAGAATAGATACAAAGATTAATATTTGAGAACTTAATTGGAGCATGATCTTTCGTTTAAAAAAATAGAATAAGAAAATGTGAGATTAATAAGTTAAGTTGAGGTTTATTAGAAAAAATAATAGTAATAAGAAGTTTTGATTGATGATTATTTAGCTTAGATTGAAAAGCTTAATATCATAAATAATTAAATTTAGCAGTAATTATTATTAGTACAAAAAGATAACTCTAATTTTTATAAGGATTAAGATAAATAGATATATAAATTAAGTGAATTAAATTAGTAATTGATGACTTAAATAACTCAACTGAATAATTAAAAGAGTACAGATTAATTGCAAATCAAAGATTTAATAATTATTAAGTAAACTTTAGATGAATAATTGGGTAAACATTCAGAAGAAATAATTTCTCTGAATGAAAGATTGAAAGAGTTATCAGATTAGAATACTTAAATTACACAAATGAATTCAGAATATCTTAATTAGATTACTGGATTATAAGTGTAGATATCTGAGTTATAAAATAAAGTAACTCAAAATATTTATGAAAATAAGCCAAGATATAGTGATTAATAGCCTAGACAGTCTACTTCAAATAACAGTAGATAAATTGAAGAATTAAATAGTAAGATACTAAGTCTTAATAATTAAGTCAATTTATTAAATCAACAGAAATTTTAAATTTAATAAGAATTGATTACAGTAAGAAAACAGTTATAGAATGAATAAGACGATAAATTATCTCAGTAATCTCGATAAACTAAAACTAGTTCATATAAAATAATTAGTGAAATGGAAGATAGAATTAGGTAATTGTAGTAATAACTTGAAAATGAGAAATTAGGTAAATCAATGAATAATGGTGATATTGAATTGAAAAACAAATAAATTTTGATTTTAGAACAAAATAATAGAAAATTATAATAATAATTGGATTAATTAAATTTATAAATGGAAGATGAGAAAATTCTGCTTTATAAAGAGATTGATTAATTGTCTGAATAGAATAAAAGAACAAAATAATTAAAAAATACTGAGTAAGATATTGAATATAGAAATTCAATTAAATAAAAGGAAAACATATAATAAGAATTAATCTAAGCAAATTAATTAATAAAAAAATACTAAACTCGTATAACTAATTTGGAGAATTAAATAACAAAATAGACAAATGATTCATCAGATCTATAAAATAGATTTATTATAGATTTAGAAGAGAAACTTAAATTAAATCAACGTAAATATGAAAATGAAATTAAGGAACTTAAGTATGAAAAGCAATCTCTTAATTAATAATTAGAAAAAATTTAATACGAATTAAAAGAAATCAAATCTAAATATCATGTTGAATTAGAATAAAACGAATAAAAATTGTCAAAAGAAAATTAAAGATTCTCTTTATAATTAAATGATAAAGCAGCTTATTTGAGCTAATTAGAAGTGAAAAATAGATAGATGAAGGAAGAAATTTTGATTTAATAAGAAAAATATGATTAAAAATTAATGTAAGCAAATGAGAAAATTAAAGAGTTAACTGAAGATTTAGAGACTATGATAGAAAATTATAAAAAGGAAAAAAATGTAAATTTTTTTATTAATTAAATTAGTTAAATTAGAAATGGGAAAAATAAAATGAAGAGCTACGGAAATAATTATAATCATCTGTTGATGACATTCATATTAAAACAGAAAGAATGAGTGTAGAAAGATTATCATTAGACACTAAAAGATAAATAGAGTAAGTTTAATAATAATTAAATAATGAAATAAATACATTGAAACAAGAAATTAAATCAAAAAATGAGCAAATTAATTAGTTAAAATATACCAATCAATCTCTTTAATAAAAAATCAATAAATTTGAAACATATATTCATGATTTAGAAGATTAATTACAATAGTTTTCAAGCAAAGAAGAACAATTATTAATGTAATTGAATTAATCAAAAAATTAATCTTTGGCAGATTCCTTAAACGTAAAGGTTATGACTTTAGAAAATAATCTTGTAAGAGCACAAAAAAAAGAGGAATAATTATTACAAAAAATAAGATTATTAGAAAATCAATAAACTTCACTTCAAAATAATTCAGAATATAAAAATTTGTAAACAAAGAACAATAATATGTTCGAAGAAATCTAAATTTTGGTTTAAACAATTAAAAATTAAGATCAAGAAATTGAAAATTTAAAGAATGAGTTAATGTCATATCAAAGAGAAGTATCATTTATGAAAGAGGTAGTTAAAGAGGATACTAGTAGATTAGAATCATCAGTTTTAGATGATAAAAATAGAAGAATAGTAGAATTAGAGAATAAGTGTGCATTACTTGCTAATGAAAACACAAGACTTAATTAATTAAAGGTAAAAGTTTATCATATATTTTTAGATGAAATAAATTGATGAATGGAAAACAAAATATGATAAATTACAATTAGAATTAGAGAAAAGCTTAAATATGAAAGGTTGGGATGATCAATCAAGGAATATTGTAATGTCTAGTAATTTTGGATATTTATCCAAAATAAAATGATTTATTTAAATATATAAAAGAACTAACCTATTTCTTTTTACCAATTTTTAATCTATTTAATAATTTTTTTATCTAAAATGGTTTTTCCTTTTTTTAGAAGTTTGTCTCTTTTTCCAACAGAAAAATCCTTCATTCACAATGAATAGTAAAAGTACCAACTTTGACCAAATTATAAAGTAACAAAATGTCATGGGTCTGTTTTAATTTAATCTATTTCATCAAAAAAATTGTAAATTTTAATTGTTTATCTTCTAATTATGTATAAATATAAATCTTTTATTTTTAACTTTCTATTTTTTAATGTTTTTAATCATTTTCTAATTTATCATTCCAATAAATAAAATATTCTCTTAAAATTGGCTATCTAATATTTATTACTTAAAATTTAATAAATCTACATTTTAGAGTATGTGAAATATTTATATTTTATATATGTATCTTTATTTATTCATTCTCAAAACATGTAAATAAAAAAAAGAAAATTTATATACTAAGTTTTTCAATTATCTGTTCTTCCATTCTATAAATTCTTATATTACTCTAGCTAAAACTTACTTATCAAGCTTTAAAATGGCTTTTTATAGTTTTATTTGTTTTTCATCCTAGTTTTTATGTCCTTAAACTCTAATTATCTATGAAATTTGACTTTTTAGATTTCTTCAAATAAATTGACTTTTTGGTAAGCCAAAATAAAAAATCCTTCATTTAATTTCATTTTTTTTAAGATAAAGGTTTCTTTTAAATAGTAAGTTTCATATAGGTATAATAAGATGTTTTTTTTATAGAATGAGATGAAGAAAAAATTGTTTATTTAGATAATTAAGATTTGTGATGTTTTTTATTTTAAATACGATTGATTTCCTTTAATTTAGAGAACTCTGGTTGAGAATTTAAGCTTTTGTAAAATGTTATATTTTCTTTGATATTAGTTTTAATTGAGTTCTCTGTTTTTGAAATACTTAGATAATGAATTTTTATTAGTAATATAAATCAATAGTAAAATACTTTTTTGTATTTCTAGGGTGTCGCCAATCGTTGGATTTCGCTTTTCAAATTCTGAACCTCACTTTATAATTCATTGTAAAGACACTTAAACAGTACTTTTTACTTTTTTAGTTTATGTTTCATCTTTGCATTTTTTAAGATATATTACTTCATTTTCTACTAAAAAGGCTTAATTAAGTCTCTCAGTTAGAATATTAATAGTTTAATCCTTTTCTTTCATTTTTTAGACAGGTGTTACAGGTGCCTTATTAGAAGTTTTGCATTGAATATATTCACTTTTAACACTACGTGTGTTTCGGTTACTCTTTTGTACACTTCCACTTCGTTTAATTTGAGATCTCAAATCATCTATCTTCTTCTCTTATCTTTTAATTGTTTCGATTAATAACATGGTAGACATCTGTTAAATTAAAATTTATTTTTAATTATAACCAATAGTTATCGTATAGATTAAAAGATAATAATAAATAAAAGAAATTAATGATATTTATCTTTTTGTATAATATTTTTTCAATTAATGCAAAATAATAAAATGATTACGCTATCAATTTAGAATGCTAATTAATCTTAATATTGTAACAAGGCCTTAAAATCAAAGAAAAAAATAATAAAAAGATCAATTTCTACAATTACAATTATGATTAAATTGTTGTTTTATAATATTCCTGCATTTATTTTGGCAATGCTATTTACAAAATTATTAGTGATATTTAGTATAAAATTAAAAAGTCATGATAGTAGTTTATATTCAATTTTCACATTTTAAAATTTAAGAAGTAAAATTTGTGTAAAAGAAGATGTGCAAGAATAAGACACTCTATACTAGGAAGTGGTTAGGATGCTTTAACCCAGAAATATCATGAGAGCCATTATCTGTTTTTACACCATTCAAGCCATTTTTAAATTTTCTCACATTTTAATACTATAGATATTTATAGAAAAATAAAATCTTTTTAAGATAAAGAAATGATAAGAATATTTTAAAATCTAAAAAGAAATAAAAAATAAAATATTCATCTAATAAATATTTTTAATTCACAAGAAAAATATGAGACTGATTATTCTATGTAAAATTAGTATTCAAATGAAGCCTAAAAAAAATTAAAAAATAAATTAGTGAAGAAGAAAAAACCATTTAAAATTAGAAAGAAAAATTATGAGAAATTTAGCCAATAATTTAAACCTCAAACTTCTACTAATTAAGTTTATTATATGATAATAATTTAAGTAGTCTAAATTTGAAAAAATCCCAATTATAGGTTTAATTAACTTAACACTAATAAAAATGATGTTATCAAAGCAAAAAAAATCTTTAGGTTAAAAAAATTCAGAATCATGAAATCATGAGATATTTCTGCTTATAAATTATTTTTGTACCTCAACACAGACTTCCTATCCACACTCCATTTTTGTTATATTTATTTTTATTCTGGGTCTTTCATTATGCGATTAATATATGTGTGTTTAATAGCTTGGCTATTTATCATAGCTATGATCACACTCGTACTTAAATTTTTTTTTAGTTTTAGGGTATTTATTATTTTTTTAAGTTCATAAATGTTTGAGTTTTAAACTTAAGTACAAAAATCTTGTTAAAATGAGAGTTCTATTAATAACGTTGTGTTAAAAGTATTAAATTGCTATTAGTAAAATTATACTTATTATTGGATAAAAACAACTTTCCAATCAGTTGTAGTTATGAACTACTTACCTCTTAATACCTTAACAATTTTGCTTTTTTTTAGTTTTTCATTTGATACTTCTTTTCATTGTTCTTATTTTTTCACTTTTCTATTCAGTGCCTAAATTCTAAATATTATTAGCTGACTTCAAATTTATTATAAAATGTTATTCATCAATATTTTTTATGTGTTCTTACTATTTTTGAATAAATATTAAGTATGCAAGAAGATATTATTTGAACTGATGATGTGTTTTAGTTTAGGTGTTACATCAATTTATGTTATATTTAATAATTTCTTATTTTTTGAAAAGACTTTAATGTTTATGACATTGTTCTATTTCAATATAATTCCTTAAAGTTTTAAATTAGAATGTTTCATAAAATCTGTACTCATGACCCTTCCAAGCTCTATATTATCTGCCATATATAAAGTATTTTCTCTTTTAAGGATTAAATACTCTTATTTTCATCTTAGTTAGTTTGGTAGTATAATACAAACAGTCGAAGATTCTTAATGATTTCTCTTTCTTATTTTATGAAATTTCAGATCAAAAAGTATTAATAATCAACTTACTTTTCGAAAATTAGATTAACGTAAAGTAAATAATGAATTCGAATTTATTATCCTCTTTTTTTTAAACTCCTAATCGTTCTGATATTTCTTTAAATTTACTCTTAGTTTTTCTCTTCTTATTTAATTGATTTCTAATATTTGTTATCCTTCTTAACATTATTTGTTTGGTTTAATTAAAGTTAAATTTTAGTGAATCATTTAAATAATAAAATCATAAATATCAACAATATCTTAATTATATTCCGAGAAATCATAAAAAGATAATAAAAATATCAGCATGTATATTGGGTTTTAATGATTTTTAATGAAAAAAGATATTTTAGTCTAAATTTTCCTTTTTCGAAAGAAATAAAACGGAAAATTTCATAAGAAGATGTGACTGATTTTTTAAGAAGAGCAATTACCAAAAATTTAAAAAATAATTCTAACCAAAAATTTAAGAAATACAGAGCTAAAGAGAATGCATTTATATCAGATCTACTTTTATCTAAACCAATATTTAGCAACATAAATTGAAGAATTTAAAGATTTATAAAAATTATTTGAAAGTTATATAAAGATCATGGATCGCTTTCAATAAAAAAATTAGGTTTAAAAATGAGATCAAAAAAAAAGAACTCTGAATACACAAAAAAGAAGATTATGTGATAGAACCTATAATTAGAGAAAATGTCTAAGTACTAACTATGCAAAAATTAAAAGTTATTGATATATTGTAGAATTTGATAATTTAAAAATAACTTTCCTACATTATTATTAGATTACATGATAGTAAATTCAATATTAATATGATTTATGAATTCTTTCAATATATTTTCTAATCGCGTTGATTAATATTGTAATCAAACCATATTAATTTATTCTCATATCCATTAATTTAGTTATAATGCTTCCAGATGTGGTATTATAGTATAAAAATACAATAATAGCAAGGGATAAATAGATCATAACACTTATATATTTTCCTACCTCTATTTACAACTTTTCCTATTCCTTAGTTACATGATCATATAAACGTTTAACTCTATTAAATTTCTTTTAAATGATTGCATTGCCAATATAAAGTATAAAAAAAAGGATTTGCAATTAACATATAACTAATGCATATATAGGAACTTGAATTTGATAATGATTGCAGATAAATTACAATAAATCAAAAGGTGGTAATTAAAGAAAGATGGCATAAAATTCGTAAAATAAGCTAAAAAAGAAATACATTGAAATTGTCGTAATATAACACTTTTTAAGCAGATTTATAAAAGATCTCCACTTTTATACTCTTACTTCTGATCTTTTTAACATCAAATTGCATCTCATTATTAGTCCCTCGCTTTCTAAATCGTTATAATAATCTGTATTCTTTTCAATACGTTACTTGATTCCAACTATTAAGACTTTAGAACCTTCATAAATTTATAGAAGTCCATGTACAGAAATGAAACAATATTGCAAGTCATCTAATTATTAATTTCTAAAGAAAAAAAGAGTAAAAACAGCAGAGGGAAATAAAATTATTCTTCTATAATACCTAGAGAATATTAAAAATGATACCACAAAGATGAATCTTTGCTTTTTTATGTAGAAAGTCCAAATCTTTTTCGAATTTATTCTTATTCTTCTAAATAATTAAATCTATTTAATCTTAGATGAAAAGTCTCAATTACAAGTTATTACCATGTAGCTTGTAACAATAAAATAGACATTAAAAATTCTTGACCTAATCTAAAACTAATTGACACTACTAAAAAAAATAGCAAGAGAGTATGCACAGCTACAGCAACCTTGGTGACTATACCTACTTGTTTATTTCTGAGAAATTTCTACATGATAAATAATGATGAGCCAATTAAGAATAATTTCATTAATTATAAAAATAAATTCATAACTGATTTTTTAGAAAATTAAATGTAAAATCAAGTTTTATCATTTTTTTTAATTATGAATATTATTTAGGTATAAAACAATATAAAAATATCAAATTTTACATTCTCTCAATTTTTAAATTATTCTAAAGGTTGCAGTGATTCTGCGTTTGCTTAATAATAATCATCATCTTAAAATTATTAAGCATTTAAGTCTGTATTATTAAAAGTATTTTGTTTATCAGGTTTTTTTTCAAAATCTAATATCTCAAGTTGTTATTTTATTCCCTCTTACTATTATTATTATTATTCTTGCTCTTTTTCTTTTTCTTATTCTTCTTATTATTAATTCTGTTATTTTTTTAATCTTTCTCTTTTAATTTCTTGAGCTTTCTCATATCTTGTTAATGGTTTTTATGCTGGATTATTAGGATTATCCTCTAAATAATCTTGAATTTAATCAGTACAAATAAAATCATAAAGTGCCTTAATAACTCTTGGAACTTATTCTTTATTATTAATATACCTAATTAAAATTGATTTTTACTTTAAGATCTTTTTCATATATGGATCATATCGAATAGCAGTTGATTTAATAATATTATAAGCTAAGTAGGTTTTTAAATTTGCTAAATTTTTAAAAGGTGATGTTGAAAGACAACTTTTAGGATTAAGAAGATTGAAATCAAGAAAAGCATTAACAATTGCAACTCCTACTTATTCAAAATCTGCAATAGTGTAGAAATTTGATTAAGGAATAGTTGTTTAAAAAGATCCCAAAACAATATTTTGATCTAAAGTATTATGTTTGTATGAATCATCTAATAAATTGAATAAAATGAATACCTTAAGATTCCTGATAGATAAAATTTGTAATTTTACCTATATTATAATTACATTCAAGAGTATAACTATGAATAATACCACATGCTTTATAGAGAGCTACTCTACCTGAGCCTTCTTTGCTAAGTCCATCTCCTTTATCTGCAGCATACATATTCTTTTCAGTAAAATTGCATCCATCATAATCAAAGATTGAAGAATATAAACAAATTAATTTAGGAATGATACAATTTTAAATATGTTATTTAAGTTGTGGAAGTTAATTTCCATAAATAAATACTCCTTTATGACCAGCATGAGCATGTAAATCAATATATCCAAGAAATCTACCTGTTTTATGAAGTCTCATTAAATATTCTTTTACTGCATAAATTGTTGGATGATCCTCTTTAGAAGGTGATAAATAATATCGATTAAGATTTTAACAAAGTGAATCAGTTCGATAGTGTCCTCTATAAACTCCATCAGGATTAATAATAGGAATAAAACACCAAACAAATTAGTCTCTGGCTGCATCTGCAACAGGATTATTTGGAGTTAAAAGATATTTAATTAATCCATTATTAACAAAGGAGCCAGGAACTTCTCCTGGATGAACACGGGCAGAAATAAAAATATAAGGTTTCTTAAAAACTAAAGGTTTTGTGATAGGAAATAATCCAGCCATAGGTTCTTCATTTATAAGTGAAGTTCCATTAGTAATTGTTATTAAGTTTATAGGTCTACCTTCAATAGAATAAGACAGTATGGAATTATCATAATAAATATTAGGAATTTTTAAAGACATTGAATAACAAACTTTAAGGAAGTTCTTAATTATTAATATGTTATAGTACTTCATTATCTTAACAACTCCAAGGATAGAAAAATGCAAAATAAACAGTTAAATCATTAAAAAATACATGTTAGAAAGTGATTTCAAATTAGCCTTCACAAACTAATCTATATTAACAAGGTTATTTAATTCGAGCCCATTCATTAGAATTTTTAATTCTAAAAACTGGTTGCATACCATCTTTAAATAATCCCATCTTTATTATTACAATTTCAATTACTTAATTTTACATATTAGCAATTGTAAATGTGATTTCACCTTCATTCATTCCAGATACAGAAAAGTAAAACCAAGTTCTATAATTAGTGATTTTACCATTAATTCCACAATCATTTGAGATTTGTAAGATATACTTATTATTTGATATTTTAATTATTTTATACTTTTCCATTATCATAGAGAACACTTTTTAAATTCCCTGAATCAAATGCACTTGAAAATGTAATTCCATTAATTGTTTCAATGATCTACGAAGGATGCTGTACATTGTTCATTTTTCAAATTAATAAATATTATTAAAACTGTTTAAAAAATTTCATTAAAGTATGGTTTTTTAAAATTTACTAAACCATTAATGCAAAACTCCTAAATAAGACATAAATGAAAAGTATTCATGCAATCAATTTAATATAATTAATACTTTGTGTTCAGGTAAATTTAAATGAATAATCCTTGAAAAAAAATATTTAAGATTTGCAAATAATTCGAATAATTAAATATGGGATTAATTGAGGAACTAATGTAAAAATACTTATTCTGATCATTATGTAATATATCAAAATATTTGAATATACAACTAGTCAAATTTTACTATTAATTAGAAAAATCTTGAACTTAATAAAATTATGATGTTCACTCATCCATTATTATATAAGATCTTGGAAACACACTATTTAAAAGGAATCCTAAGGATTTGCTTGCTAATAAATTATTATGATTAACATATTATAACTTACATTTATTACAGATATTCAATCAGAAACAAAATACTTCTCCAAGTAAATAAGCCTTAAGAAAATTAAAAATACTTCAAACTAAAATTGAAAAAGAACATCTTGTAATAGATATTATATTTCTATTAACAATGAATTTTATTTATTATATCAAGTTAACTACCCCAATTTTAAAGACAACTATAGCATACATACATATATAAAATATATTTTTAACTTTTATCAAACTCAAATAATTAAGGTTATCTAAAAATCATATTTTAAAAATGGTCAATAAACCGTTTTCGATTATTTAAAATTACATTATATTATTGCCACTAATAAATCAATTTTTTAAAAGCATTAGGCTATCAAATAATTAAGAATAAATTTAGTACAATCCTTTAAATATTCATTAGATTTTTTAAAATTAATATGAAATTCTTTTTATTTAATAAATAAAAAATAAAATTGAAAAATGAGAAAAAGCAAATATTATTAAAAACAAGAATTTTTCATCAAGATTATAATAATAAATATTAAATCATGCTTATTTACAAAACTGCTTTTAAATTAATTCATTGAATTACAATGGATCGATCATTAAATTATTAGGAAGTAAAAATGGTGTATTCTTATTGTTAAGTAATAACTCAAGAGATATTTAGGGCAAAAACTTATATTAGTTCATAAGTTATTGTTATTACTATTATTGTTATAACTATTAGGCTGAGATGTCTTGTTTAGTATTTGGTAAATTTTCTTTGATTTTGAAATCATCCTAAAGTTATATAAATATAGAATACTTTATTGAGATTTATAAGAAGGGATGTAAATTATTGAGGAGTCATTTAACCTGTCATTTCATCTATCTAATCATCTAATTATTGTTAACAAATCCTGAGATCTTTGGATTTACATTTCATTTATTTAATTAAACTAGAAATATAGAAAATCCATATTACTATGAAAATGATCTTTTATGTTCTAGAATTCGTCTAACAATATGGGTAATAGTATGTTGTATTTTGTCTTCACTACATCCAGTAATTTCCTTGAATAGTTTTATATACTCATGTAATTCTTCATCTTCAAGAAGTTGAACTGAACTAATATTTTAATAATTTTACAATTTTTAGAAAGACAATTACTTCCAAAAAGAAGAGTTCCATAATTACCATCCATTAATATTCTTGCTACATTCTAAAAGCAATATCTTATATATTGTTTTCTTTTTGAACCTGTGGCACTAAATTTCAATTTGTATGAATCTGTTAATAAAGCTTACATTTCTTATCCCTCACTTGTTTCTGGATCTTTACTTTACAATTAATCAAATATTTGTGCTTATTCTATAATCATTCCTTTAAAACATGAATTTTGTTCAATAATATTATGAATATGTCTAAATGTAATTTCAGTTTATTATCTGAGTCCTTCAATTTATCCATTTAAATCTTCAACCTTCTTCTCTAATAAACCAATATACAATTTCTTTCTTTATCTTGAATTTCTAGCACTCTCTCTATTTTTTAACATCTTTAAGTCTTCATTGTCCAATTATTTTGATGAATTCGAAGAAATGTTTTCTTTCACTCTTTTTGAAGGAAGTAGTTTTTCTTTATCATCTTCCATGCTTACATTAAGAAGGGAACTTATTTTCTTTATATAAGCATTCTTCACATTCCCTTTTATATTATGTAAACACAAAACATCATCCTTTAAAGATGCTTATGAATCATTCTATATCATTTGTCTATCCTCTTATTTTATATCTAATGAACTTCTGACTCTTTTCACTTCGTTCTCAAGATTAGAAATTACTCCATAAGGTATAAAAGGCATTAAATTCTATTATTATTATGCTGGTTTCTTCTGAATTATATTATTAATAAATACCTCTTCTATATCAAGCAAATAATGTTCAGGATATTCACAATCAACCTTATGATTAGAATTCATTATTATATATAATACCTATTTATTGTATAATGACGTCTTAGAATTAAAATATTCAAACAAAATCCACCATTAAATTAATTGATAATATATACTACGAAATATGATTCAAAGACGGATTAATTTTTTTTTATATTTTTATAAAGAATATATTAACAACAAAGATTTCCGAAAACTTTGTGGACTTGCATATTATTCCCTAATTAATCCTTTTCATTAAATTTTATATCATTTAATTTCTAACTTTATTGATTTTTTAGTTAAAACCATAAGTACATTTTTATTATTAATATTTACAACTGCATTATTCAATGTTGATAAATATTTTTGAAAAATTCTTAATATTTAATAAGGTAATATTTGGAAATATAACAAAATATTTATTAGTTCTTAAGAATAGAAATATGCTTGATTATTTTTTACATTGATGCTTATATAATTGATTTCTAAAAATAATCGAGTAAATTAATAGTGTTTGATTGAACTTATAGAATAAAAGTTTGAGGAGTATTGTTACTTTTAATTAAGAATATTGTTTATTAAAAGCAAATGAATATCAGATAAAAGTGACATAGATTTGAATAAATCAATTTCTTTAAATATTAATATTGCCTTATAAAAATTAATTTATAGTATAATAATTTGAATTCAAATTTATATAAATGAACAACTCACCGATTAGAAATCAATCTTATTACTAAGATAAAATTCGATATCAGAGATCACCTTATTCAGATAAAGAAAATATAATGAGTGAAGTTAATTAGAGTTAATAAACACTCTAAAGAGAAGCCATAGAAATATTGAATGATGTTGCAGAGACATCAAAAATTGATGAATCAGTTTTAGATAGCAACCTTACATTATTTGAAAAGATTACACATCATAAATGGTAGATACGAAGATTAATTTTAATGAATTTAACAGAGGAATATTAAAAAAACTAAACTGTTTATGAATTTTAATCTGCATGGCTTAAAAATATTATCAATGATAGCAATTAATTTGCTATGACTGAAGGTCTTAAATTTATTTAAGTCTTTGTTAAAAGTTAATAAATGAATTATCACATATTACCATATTTTATTGGCGATCTTATTGAAAGAGGCTCATTTGTTAAATCTCAAATCCAAGATCTAGTTATTGAAATATTATTGTAATGTTGTAAATCAACATAAGATACAGGATTTATACTATCAGAAATCTAAAAAAAAATAGAAGCTAAACATCCTAAAATTATGACTTTAAGTTTGACTTTTGTTGAAAGAATTCTTGAACTATTTCCCAATCACTTTTTTAAGTATATATAATTATATTAAATAAAATTAGAGATTAAATTAGAGATTTCATAGAGTTATGTGTATCATTAGTTCAACACACTAATAAAGTGATTAGACAAAAGTCTATCAATATCTTTTGTAAACTCTTTTAAATGATTTCAGAGAATTTTGAATAAGTTAAGAAGATTTATTTAGATAAAAGATTAAGATAAATTCAAATTAAAGAATTAGAGTAATTATGCAGTAAGATAACAAAAAAAACATAGAAAATAGAAATACAATCTACATAACCTGTTGTTTAAATAATTGATTTACATACACTATTGCCAGATAAATTCTTTGAAATGCCTTATTACAAACATAATGAAAAGAAAAACATAACAGAATAATTTGCTAAAAATTTAGAGAAGTATGATGGAGACATTGATAATTCTAAAGATTATGGGAGTATTTATGCAATTATTATTACATTACTTGAAGAAAGCAACTATTTAATTTATAGTTAGGGTATGAGATGTGTAAAAGGATTGGTTAGACTATTAAGAAGAGGAATCCCTTAACCAGTAGCTAAACATTTTTTTATTTTGATTTTAGATAAATTAAAAGGTTCTTTATCTAAACCATTGTAATCAACTGTTTTTAATCTCTTAGAAGATATTTTAATTTATGAAAATATATCTTGTGATTAATTTATGGAATTAATGATTAATTAATTAGAATCATCAAAAAATATTGGTTTAAAAATAGCATGTGCAAGATGGTTTAAAGATGGTTGGTTAGCATTGGCTTTGGCTGTATAAACTGGCTCTTATGAATCTTCTGATTCTGAAGTACTTAAAAAATTTGCATAATCTAATTGTGAAAAAATATCTAAATCACTTCTTGTCTTATTCAAAAAGGTTCAAAGTATCTTAAAAAAAGAAAATAATTTAAATTATAAAAAAGTATTAATAGATTTAATCAATTCAATGCAATGTGATGAACAAAACCTTTAAGTTACTGTTATTGAATCTTAAATTGCTATTGTTAATCCACAATTAGATTTTCAAGAATCTAGAATTACAGAAAAATAATCTAGAAAATAATAAACTAATTCTGTAAAGAGCAGATATCAAACTGATGAAGATTTATGTGAATTTGCTTAAATTGGAGAAGATATGTAACATTTTAATTAAGCGAATAAAAATAGGTAAAGTATAGAATTACCTACTTCCTAATTAAATAAAGAATAAATAGAATTTATGAATAAATTTAGTAATGATCTTATTCAATTAAGAAAATTATCTTAAAATAATTAAGATTAATAAATATAAAATAAAATAGAAGAAATTTTAAATTCATTCAAAAATCATTATTCTGATAAAAATATTACTAGTAATGATTTCTTATAATAAATGACCAATAATATAATAATGGAATTATTTCATTTCTGTAAGAAAGTTTAAGTATAAAAAAAATCAATTGCAGATAAATTATATGATTTCATTATTTCCTTATTGATAAAAATGAATAAAATTCAAGTTACATTGGATTAGGAAATGCTTTATTAAGAATACAAAATATGTTTGATCTAATTAAATCAATTAGATATTTAAAAACTCTTAGCACTTTTAGATAGTTTATATATTTGCAATTCATTAGAAAACATGATCAAAATTGGTTATAGAATAACTAATAAGTATCTGTAGAAACAAACAAATAGTAATATAAAGATTTTTCAGGCATTTATAAATTGGATAACACAGAAAATTAATGCTGCTACTTAATAATAATTGGATCATTCATTTATAAGAACTTCTTAAAAATCTTTTGAAACTACTTTTAAAATGTTTCCATAAAGCCAATTAGATATAAGGATGTTACTAAGTGCTTTAAAAAGTCGTATGATTAATTAATAAGTGGAATAATTGGATTAATATTAGGATTTACTAAACTAATCATAAAGAAAGTCGAAATCTAAGTCTTTTGGTTCTTAATCTCGATTTTCTCCATATGAAACTCCAAATAAAACTTAAAGTAAATTGGAGTTTTCAGATTCAGAAGAAAAAGAAAATTTAGAATCATTATAATAAATAGAACAATAGGTTTCTACATAATTTACAATCTAAGGATTAGAGAAATTCATACATTATCTAAATCGTCATAGAGCTTATTAACTTTGTAATTAATCCTAACATACTGTATTTTTAAGCCCAAATTCTAGTTCACCAGGGAAACATTGGAGAAGAGGAATTGGAAGAGATAATATGATTATAAGTTCACCATATAGATAATTATATGAAAGCTCTAAATTTGAAGATTTTACTAAAATTTTAGAAATTGTTTGTTAAAATTATAACATTCAAATTTCAAATTAAGTTTTTTAAGTGTTTTATTTGCTTAAACATATTTTCCCAAATAGTCAATAATGTCTAATATATCTTATTTTTGCATATATATGTCCAAAAACAGAATATTCAGAAAACTTTGAAGCATTTCTTAGTACTTTCCTTTAATTAGATAAAAGTATTATGGCATATCAATATAGATAAGCTTTTAATATATTATATTAGAAATCAGAAAATGAAAAGGTTTTAATTAATTTAATACACACAGGATTTAACTTTCTTTTTTAAAAAATATTTGAAAATGATTTATTAGTAAACATATAATATTTTATCACTACTCTGACATATATGTTAAGTTAGACGATATTTTATTAATTAGCTAATGATTTATTAAGTAAATATCAACAACAAGCTAACAATTTCATTTAAATTGTGGAGACTGAGTTGATAAATTACAAAAAATTATACGATATTTATTTAAATTGGTAGTAAATATAATAATAATAATAATAATCTAATTAAAAACCTCAAATTGACTTCTAAAAGCTTTACAAATAATAATAGAATGATATTTTGATTGTTGATCTTTAAGAAATTGATGAATGTGCATCTAAAAGAGAAGAGACAGTTAGAGAATAAGTAAATAATAGTTAATAAGAACATTTTATACATATTAACAAAGAAGATTTTGAATTATTAGAAAGCACTACTAAAAATTTTCATTCTTAATAAACTTTAAGATTTACTGAAGATGGATAATTATAATAACCAGATATTTTAAACATATAATAGTTCATTAGTCCATTATAATAAATAAGCTAAATCAGTAATTAAATACATGATACTGTTATTTAAGATTTAGCTAAAAATCTTTATACAAATGATACATAAAGATTAAAAGAATTAGACATGATTAAATTGCAAAATGAAACTTCTAGATAACATAAAAGAGATAGTCATAAATAAGTTTAAGAATCATATCCATAACCACTATAAAAGGATCCGATGAAATAGAAGATAGAGAAAATATACGAAGAAGTTCAAAATGAATCTTAGAATGGCAATTTTAATGAAAAAAGTCTTCTTGGAGATGTTCTTGCTCCTATTGAAACTGCATAATTATTTGATTAGGCTAAAAATTTAAAAAGAAACGAATGTATAAAGTAAATGTAAGAAATTTTGTTGACATCAACATCATTATATTTTGATGTGGCATCAACTCTTCTTCTTTAATATGAAAATTTAGAAATGGCAGAAGATAAATTAGCATTTATTAATGATCTTAAATTGTCTTTGGTTAATCAAACTTTATTAACAAATATTAACCAATAAAACTTTTCTGTTATTATTGCCATAGTCTTAAGATTATGTACAACTGTAATTTATTATTTATATTATTTAAATAGCCTTCAACTTAATCAGAAATCTATAATAGTTCATTAGGATATGATGATAATCAATTGACAAAATCATTATAGCAAATATTAGATGTACTTTTACACTCAAAAGAAACTGAGTAAGTATTAATTTGTTTAATACATGTATTTAATGATCATTTACCTATGGATTTTACAAATGAAATTACTAAAAGTATTTTCCTTTCGATATATTTTAGATGAAAAAATGATGTTAAGACTAAATTTAAAGTGTATAGAGAGATTAGTTTAAAATAGTGAAAAATTACATATATTTGGAATTTTAATAGAAATTCTTAAATTTTTTAAATGTCACCCTCCTGAAAATTTAATTGTAAATTATCAAAATATATTTTTAAGGAAGGGCTTCCTTCAATTAAAGAATTGGAATTATATTTTAGATAAATGAAATAAATTACTGATAATTTATTGAATAATAATTTCAAAGAAGGAAAGGAATTTTTAGAATTTGTATACAGAAAAAATAATAAAAGTATCTTTTTAGATTATGTCAAAAGTGTAATTGAAAAATAATGATTTTAATAATTAATTTGATTTTCTAAATATTTTAGAAATACTTTATAATTTTTTGAATTCTTTTAATTTTAAGAGTTTATTTAAAATAAATTTGACATAAATGAAAATATCATTTTGATATAAGTTAAGTGATTAAAGAAAATATTGGTTATAAAAGTTTATAAAAATCATGTTATAATAAGTTATACGATTTTTAATCTGATTTATAATTTTATGTAATAAATGCTTTCCCTAAAAAAGGATACATAAAGAGGATCATTTGTAGCAAATACGCCTTTAACACCAAGAAGTTAGACTTCAAGGAAAAGCTCTTTATTGAATAAACAATCTTTTGAGTAATAGGAACTATATTCATCAAGAAGAATAGGTTTGAACCTAAAAGACCCTTAAGTACTGAATTAATGTTTAATTTGATAGAAAGTTGAAGAAATGATAAAAATTAGATAATAAAGATTACCTCGAAAAGAGGCAACAAAAGATGGTGAGAAAGATCTTAGAGAAATATCAAAAGCATATGATGTATTAAAAAATGCTTTACCAGAAATAAATAATAATTATGGGGTAATAAAGGATTAAGAACTTCTATAATTTTATAAATAATAGATAGTGATAAACTAAAATCCAAGAAAAAACTTTTTTGAGTTCAACACATACTTTTATAAGAATTATTAAGCAAACAATAATGGTCCTTGTACAACATTACCTTAATTATTAATAAAAAAAGTAGAATCATTTTAAAACAAATTGGAATAATTAATAAAGGAAAGATGAATAAAGAGAGTTGGAATCTAAAAGATTTATTTATTATGTATATTTTGAAATGGCTATATAATATTTTGTTTTTTGTTATTTGTTTTATTGAATAAATCACACCAGACTTAAATTACTGACTGATGCTGTGTCCCAACTTGTATGTTTATCTGTTCTTTTGAGACTAATTAATTTTCTTAAACAAGCCTTATAAACAAATCTTTCCTCTTCACATTCCCATAAATAATGCTTGATTTTTTTTGTTAATGGTCTCATACTAACAGTATATAATAATTAGATACTATGTATAATGTGTTGAGCTATCTTAATGCATAGGTGTATGTCCAAAATCCTAAAGTATTAATGGAATATAATTACAATAGATTTGCCATCAGTAAGCATTCTTGGCCACATTGAAGGCCAACTTGGATGAATGATTTCCATTTATTTAGTATTTGATCTATTAGAAATAAATAAAAATAATTACTCAAAAGCACAGTCTTCATAATCATGCATTTATTTTAAGCATGGAGTTGTGTCTAGATAATCTATATATAATACCAAAGACAGGTGGCACTGAAGAAGGGAGTGTACCAAAATATAGATAACTCATATTTAATAAATTAATCAAATATCTGCTTTATTAGATTAAGGATTTCTGCATTATTTTTACTCAATTTATTCAAATTCTTCTATTTGACCTTTCTTCTTATTTTAGTACTCTTATCTAATTACATCTTTTCTTATATCTGTCTTAGCATAATAGATATATTTGTAGATTTACTAAAATTCAATACTTAACATATCTAACTGATTTCATTCATTTAAGAATATTCTATCTTCTACCACTATAAGTAACTATATTACTTACTAAACCATATCTAAACATTTTATAACCAAAATTAATAATTATTATTTCATTTATATTATTTCATTAGTTTTCTATAATCTCCAAAGCTTGATTTCATCGCCATTCTCTTCTTCACTAATGGAACTTAGTCACTTTCCAATAATTCAATCATAGACATAGATATTTTTACTATTCAAAAAATCTCATATTTTATTACTCTCTTCAGGTGTCAATTTTTATGACAATCCTAATTTTATTTGCTTTATGCACCATGCTATTTCAAGATCTGTTTATTCAGCATCACTCAAATTCAATTTTGCTTTTATTTCTTCCTCTACTTATTAAATGATCTCTTGATTCTACTCCTTTAACTTTTTCTTTTTCTCCTTTTTCTTTTAATTCCTTTTTTAGTTTTTACTTAATTGTTCTCCCTATTTCTCATCCTATTCTTCAACTAATTACTCTTTCTCTTATTCTTACTATTTCTCCTCTTAATTATCCATTAATTAATATTATAATTATAATTAATTATTTTTTATTTCAAAAATATCCAGTATTCATTCTCTCATATTCTTTTTTACTATTATCATCTTTAAACTTTCAATTTATTCTTATTTATATTATCTCCATTTATTATTCTATTTAATTTCATTTATATTTACAAAACTTTACATCTTTGAGAAAATTTTTACATTAACCTTATTTTTTCAATTAATTCTTCCAAAAATAATTTCATTTAGATGCTCCCTCCATTCAAAAATATTCTTTTCTTATAAATTTGATATTTTAATTTAATTCTTCAAACTTTATTTACCATATTTTTCTGTTCTAAATAACAATTTTTCATGATTTAAATTATAGTTTCCCCCAAAAAAAACTAAATCTATCTATCAAGGATCTTGAAAATATTCAATTAATTTCATTTATTTTGCTTAAAAGGCTTTGTTTGTAAACCTTTTAGTTATAATTTAATCTCTATCGAGATTATTTAATAGAAAGTAGAAAATGTGAAATTTACTCAAGTCATCCAACTTAATACTTTTTAATATATACTGAATAACTTATATGGTAATAAAACTCTAGAAATTCTTTTGATTAAGTGTGCAATTTTAAAAATAATATAAGCTACAATAAAGATAAAAAAAATAAATATTAGAATATAAGAATTTTATCTTTCTCATTAAACTTTTTTAAATTGATACATAAATATATATTACTAAATGAAAACAAAATAATTATCCAAAGAATGTATTTATATATAATTAAAATAGAGATTAGAATTAATACTTTCTTTTAAAAAGACTATTCTTAATTTATATTTATATAAAATAACAATTTATATAATTCATAATTTAAGGACTGTTCCTAAACAATTTTAAACTCTTATCTCTTGTGATACTAATAGCAGTGAACAATATAATCATAACTTAATCAAAATTATCAATATGAATTTTTATCTCTATTGGAATTTAAAAATTCCGTTTTGCATTTATCTTTAAGTCATTCAATATTTGCTATAGTCATTACTAGAATTATTATAAGAATGATGTTTTTTTTATTAATAAAAACGAATTAATATTCAATATGACTAAATAATCTCATCTATTCTAATACTCTCTTCATAAAGCACTTTACTGCAATATTATCTACTGCAACTATTTAAACTTTTTGCAGCTGAATTAGTACTCATGCAATAATTAAACTAAAGATTTTAAAATATTTTACGTCTTGATATCCAGCTTCTGTTCCTTTATATTAGCCAGATTTTTATGCTCGATGAACATATTATTTAAATTGATTAGCACATTTTGCAGCAGTTTTATCACAATCTCCTCCATTTTTGCAAGCTTTTAATTGATTTCCGCAATATGCATTTGTGCAATCCCCTGCTTTGGAAAAACACAAAATTATGAGAAGAAGAAAAATTAAAGTTTTTTTCATTTTTAATAATTAATATAAAATAATCTAAAGCCATTAGACATCAGAAAAATAATAAAATTATAATTTTATATAAATCAGAATAAATTTAGAAACTAATTGAAATATTTTTGTTTTTAAGCATTCGCTTTTTATGACTAAACCAAAGTAACAAGTTTAATTTAAACTCTTTTTAAAGAGATTTAAATATAATATCTATTCTATTTGAATTATTAGATTAAATAGAAAAATAATTTTAGTATAAGTGAAGAAATTTAAATATATATGATGAATTTCACTTGACTAGATATTCCTTTGTTAAGTAAGACCTAATAAATTATGTAAATATAATATTTTACATAGAATAATGATTAAATCACAAAATGCTATTTTAATTTATTAAATGATTTAGAATTAAATCTTATGAAATTGTTTTTTTTGAAATAGCTTGAAGAAGAAATAAAATAAAATAACAATTTATACTAGTAGGACTGTAGCTCATATAAAAAAATATAAATAAAAATATTATAAAAAAATGGGAGGTTGTTTATATCGTGAATCGAAGGATCAATATCATTACAATACAGATGACATAATTTTGAAATAAAAATTGACACATGATCGATTACAAAACCTTTAAAAACTGCGTGAGGAAAAGGAGTAAATGTAATAAAGATATTAAAAGAACATTGAAGAAGGTGAAAAAGTGAAATAACCAAAAAAACTGAATTAGTCATCGATAGAATAGAGTGGGTTTGATATCAGTCTTAGCAAAAACATCTAGAATCTACATTATATTGAAGAAGCTGAAGATGAATCTAGTTTTGTGGATTAACAAAAACCTTAAACTTAACTAAAATTACCAGATGATGAGAATTATGATGAAGGTGGAGAATTGCTTTTATAATTGGCTTCATCATAATAATTGAATGTAAAAAAGGCAGACAATATTAGAGATTAATTGTAAGGAAGATAAACAAATGAAATGGATGAAGTCATATTATAATACTTTAATACTACAAAGGCTAATTATGAAAGTAGAATTGATGCTTGATTTAATAATTAAATATATTTATATATAAATGTCATCATAATCTTAATAAGAATAAGATTAAGATCAAGAAAATAATGAAGAACTTTAAGCTGATGATTAAGATTTATCATCAAAATAATAGAAAGGCTAAAAATAAGTAAAGAGTAGTATAAAAAAAGTAAGAAATTATTAAAAAGTTCCCGAAAATCTTAAATCATAATTACTTAAGTTAGTAATTTAGTAGGGTGTTAAAATAAATTAAGTAGCAATTTGGAATTTATTATCAGGCAGCCCAATAATTGAATTTAAAATATGCCACAGCTAAAACTATAGTTTTTACTTATCGAGCTTAATCGAAACCAAAGAAATCAAAAAATAAAAAAAAGAAAACTGCTATAAAAGTAGAATTTGTACCAATCCAAAATAATAATGTCAATCCTATTCATGTAGAAATTACGATTGGAGGAAATATATAAAATAAATTTACACTCTAATGAGTAATTATCGAAATATTTGGTTATTAAATTGGAATTATATAATCAAACGAATAATTTCTCTAAAAATGATTTTTCTTTATTATTTTTCTAAGAAACTCCGTATTATTATTATGGTTCTTATATTTGTTATAATTAATATGATTTAATTCGACCTAAATCCTATGAAATAGATTATGATTAAGGAGTGACAGTCTATTATAATCATGGATTATATTATGTAGTTTAAGTAATTTATTGTTATTAAGAATATGGTAATATTTGAGTTGAAGTTTATGGCTATTAAATAGATTAGTGATTAGTTTATTATCCATAGATTGAGTATTCTTGAGGTAGAGTTTTGTACCTGAATTTAATATTCTTATTATAAAGTAGATGTAGGAACAGTTATAAAGAAGGNAGAAGAAATAAAATAAAATAACAATTTATACTAGTAGGACTGTAGCTCATATAAAAAAATATAAATAAAAATATTATAAAAAAATGGGAGGTTGTTTATATCGTGAATCGAAGGATCAATATCATTACAATACAGATGACATAATTTTGAAATAAAAATTGACACATGATCGATTACAAAACCTTTAAAAACTGCGTGAGGAAAAGGAGTAAATGTAATAAAGATATTAAAAGAACATTGAAGAAGGTGAAAAAGTGAAATAACCAAAAAAACTGAATTAGTCATCGATAGAATAGAGTGGGTTTGATATCAGTCTTAGCAAAAACATCTAGAATCTACATTATATTGAAGAAGCTGAAGATGAATCTAGTTTTGTGGATTAACAAAAACCTTAAACTTAACTAAAATTACCAGATGATGAGAATTATGATGAAGGTGGAGAATTGCTTTTATAATTGGCTTCATCATAATAATTGAATGTAAAAAAGGCAGACAATATTAGAGATTAATTGTAAGGAAGATAAACAAATGAAATGGATGAAGTCATATTATAATACTTTAATACTACAAAGGCTAATTATGAAAGTAGAATTGATGCTTGATTTAATAATTAAATATATTTATATATAAATGTCATCATAATCTTAATAAGAATAAGATTAAGATCAAGAAAATAATGAAGAACTTTAAGCTGATGATTAAGATTTATCATCAAAATAATAGAAAGGCTAAAAATAAGTAAAGAGTAGTATAAAAAAAGTAAGAAATTATTAAAAAGTTCCCGAAAATCTTAAATCATAATTACTTAAGTTAGTAATTTAGTAGGGTGTTAAAATAAATTAAGTAGCAATTTGGAATTTATTATCAGGCAGCCCAATAATTGAATTTAAAATATGCCACAGCTAAAACTATAGTTTTTACTTATCGAGCTTAATCGAAACCAAAGAAATCAAAAAATAAAAAAAAGAAAACTGCTATAAAAGTAGAATTTGTACCAATCCAAAATAATAATGTCAATCCTATTCATGTAGAAATTACGATTGGAGGAAATATATAAAATAAATTTACACTCTAATGAGTAATTATCGAAATATTTGGTTATTAAATTGGAATTATATAATCAAACGAATAATTTCTCTAAAAATGATTTTTCTTTATTATTTTTCTAAGAAACTCCGTATTATTATTATGGTTCTTATATTTGTTATAATTAATATGATTTAATTCGACCTAAATCCTATGAAATAGATTATGATTAAGGAGTGACAGTCTATTATAATCATGGATTATATTATGTAGTTTAAGTAATTTATTGTTATTAAGAATATGGTAATATTTGAGTTGAAGTTTATGGCTATTAAATAGATTAGTGATTAGTTTATTATCCATAGATTGAGTATTCTTGAGGTAGAGTTTTGTACCTGAATTTAATATTCTTATTATAAAGTAGATGTAGGAACAGTTATAAAGAAGGTACTCTAAGTTAAGTAGTTTAGATTGACTATGCATAATTTAAGGGTGCAGTCTATCATGATATGAAATAGATATTTACTTGCGAAATTTCATATGAAGGTTATTAAAATGTTGTGGTAGTAATTGATAAATATTGAGAAGATAAGTATTGTGTAGTAGGAACAGACTATTATCATGGTACTGTTTATTGAATAGGAAGTTATTAAACGTATTGTTATTATTAAGTAGTTGACATTTATTGTGACTTCTCTGTTTTGGAATTTAGTTGACTATATTTATTACAAATAAGTTATTTATGGTTAGGTAATTTAATTGTTGTAAGTTTAGAGAGGTGTATATTAAGTTTATACTAAAGATGATTAATATCCAATAAGCTAGCTATGAGTATAAAAATTAGTAATTACTTGTTTCCTATGAAGTTTAGGCAATTTGTTAAATTTATTGAATTTATGATTAAACATATAGAGGTTATTATAAATTTAATTGATTTGATGAAACTTAAGAATAAAGAGGTTATTGTTATAAAGGTTAATTAGTAAAAGGTTATTATTTAACTTATTATGGCAAGTATTATAAATCTTATAAACCTTAGAAACCTTTATCAAGTCATGATTTTGTTGGTAAATTAGATAGAACAGTCTATTATTATCCTAATGTTGGTTTTTAAAATGTTTATGTATTTCTATTTTAAATAGGTAGATTTGAAGGTGGTGAGTATTATTAGTTTAGTTAGTAATCTTGAAGGTATTTAATAATTTTATTTTATTTTTTTATTCATATATATATCGACTCATCGTTAAAAATTTTTATATTATGAACATAATTATGTAAAATGATAATGCTTATCTAATCAAAAGAAAATTGGGAAATGGTTCATTTGGTTGTGTCTATTTAGTATCTGATATCAAAACCAACCAAGAATTTGCCTGCAAAATTGTAATCCATATAGTACTTATTTTAGGTCTCCAAATCCATGCTCGCCAAATATCAGGCTGAACATATGGTAAGATAGGAGATTCAAATTTAATCATCTATTAATCATAGAAATGTTGTAAAACTCTTTAATTCATTTGAAGATACTAAAAACATCTACATCATTTTAGAATATTGTAAAGAAGGATAATTATAAATACCATCACAACCTTATACCAATAAATAATTAATCTTATTCCTCAATCAAATCCTCAGCGCCATTGATTCACTCCATCAAATCAATCTTGTGCATAGAGATATCAAAGTAAGTAACATCTCCCCAATTTCCAGTTAGACAACATCCTTGTTCATGAGGATGGAACTTATAAACTCTCTGACTTTGGATGGGCTACCCAAATTTCACACATTAAACCTATACTATGTGGTACTACCGAGTATATGCCTCCAGAAGTTGTCAATAACTAAATGCATGATTAAAAGGTGGACTCGTGGTCATTAGGGGTGGTACTCTATGTATAAATATCATATATTTAAGATTCTGACTCATTGCAGAAAACCTTTTACAGCTAAAACTGATCGTGAATTAATTAAATTAATTTCTGAAAATGAAATTAAAATTGATACCTCATTAGATGAGAATCTGTAAATCCTTATTTAAGCATTACTTACTAAAGATCCTTCTTATAGACCTAATATAAAGTAGCTCTATTTTAGTAAGTGGATAAAATTCCAGATGAAATATCATAACATATTCAATAAATATGAACATGAAAAATTAAAACATAAATTTATCAATCAAAAAATAGAAATCAAATCTGTTGATAATTGGTATAGGTTTCTAATGATTATTTTTAGTGCTATCTAATAAAGAAAGAAGAAGATCATTTCAAACATATCTTTGTCCCATAGTTAAAGTACGTAGTTAAGTAATTGTGATATGAATGAATCGGGAATAATAGAAAAACAAAAATAAGAAAAACTATGACTTATTTTATTTATAATAAACAAAATGATTCGTAATATAAGTATTTATGATTGTGCTTAGTATTAAAGAGTAAATATTCTAAAAAAAATAGTAGATTTACTAAAATTAACTGTTTTGCATGTAATTATAATAAATATTATATTATACAGTAGAAGATTAAAAAGTTATAATGAGAAGAGTGAGATGGTATAAAAAATAATATTATGTAATGATTAAATATTATTAATACAAATATTAAGAGTAGTCTTTATAAATAATTTTGCACTATTTTCAATATTGATTGATATATAAAAGTTCAAGATATTAGGAAATATGCTTAAAAGTGGTTTAGAATATGTATGAATAAAAAAAGAATAAAATGAGATGGTTTATTAAGAATAGGAAGATGTGAATGTTCTGAAATGATAATTGTTTAAATGTGGATGTTGAACAGGAAATTAACGTTGTTAATGAATAGATTAGGATAGATTTGATATAATATAATTTGTTTGTAATGAAATATTGTTCTGTTTTGGTTGTATCTTGAGGGAGATGATAGTATAAATCTCACTTTATGAGGGGAAAAATTTAAAAAGAAAAAAACATTTTTAATTATAGATATGGCCTAGCATGTATAGGAGAGTGAACTATTAACAGCAAAACCTAGGATTCATAATGGATAGGAAATGGTTATTTAAGGTTTAGGTGTACATGAACAAAGTGATTCTAGCTTTTCATCCCAACATTTATGTTCTGTAAATAAATCAGACTTAACTTGATTAGAGCTAATAGAGTAGTCACAGGAACATCAATCTTAGTTAGAGTTCATTTAAGAAGATCAGTAAGAGTAGTTCAGATCTTTAGAACTTCTAAAATAAACATGCCCACATTTGTGCCCATTATAATTTTATTGGTAGATGTCCATTGGAACATTGCAAGTATGTTTATTATATTAACTTTTTAAGAAAAAGACATATTTTTATATCTGAGGATGATGGATTAAGTGAACTAATATCAGATAATATAGACTTAATTGATAATCTCACAAATAGTGGAAACAAACTTAAGTTGCCATAATCTATCTATGGAACATAGTTATCTAAATATAGAAAATGTAAATCTAATACTAAGGAATTTTGTGAAAAATTAGAACACAAGTTCATAACTTAAGAATAAATACATTTTGGTGATTTTCCTATCTAAAATTTTTGGAATTGGAATGCATTTGCTCTCCAATCTATTTCTAGTAAGTCTTAACCTGATTTGGGAAATAACCATCCTCAAGACAATAAATATTTTAGTCAACTTATTAAACCCAAACCTCTTGTTGATTATAAATAGGCATCAGAAATTTTAGAGAATTCTTCATCACCTCTAAACATTTCTAATGAAATTAAAAAAAACCTCATGTCTAAACTTAAATCTGATATTGATAAAATGCAATAAAAAATTAAGACTATCTCAATGCTTAAGAAATGGATAAATAATTAATAAGTGGATTAAAATGAATATAAAAACTTATATTCATCTCTTTCCTAAATTTAATAGATACACTATTCTAATTTCCTTAAGATCACTAATATTTCAATATCAAGTATCTATATATCTTTATATTAAATTAGATTAACCAAAATTCAACAATTAGTTTCAAAATGTCGAATACGTCTTATAATGAATTGATCATTATTACATGTATAGAGTTATGTGAATAATAAATATTTAAATATCAATTGTTCTCTCATCAATCAAGTTTCTTTTATTTCTTTATTTTCCTTCATTACACAAACTCAAAGACACCAAACTCTAAAATTCAAACATTCTTTTATACACAATATCTATTCTAAAAATTTTATGTCTCTCAATTATTATTTTATCATACCTATTATCTCATTAACAATTTACTGACTATTAGATTTATCATTGGAAAAACTGATTTCTCAATTTATAAATTTAAAACTCAAATTGTATCTTCTTTTTAAATCATATTTTCAAACATAACCTTTTTATGGATTTTAGAAAAATATTTACAACGTTATTACGGCATCAATTTGACAATCGTTTTTATATATAATTTTCCAACATATATTAAAAACAATATTAAATTTTAATTAAGATACAGATAATGTTAATCCAATGTAACTATTTTAAACAGGTACAATTAATTTTGAAATTTTTTATTACTTAAAAATCAATATTTTTTAAATATTTTGATAGAACCATTTGCAATCTATTGTCCAGATAATTCGGAAAGCTAATTAAAAAATCTTAAGATCTTCTCAAATTCAATCTTATCATATATTTATCTGATGAAAAAAATAAAATATTCAAGTATAATCATATATAATACTGTGTTATAAAAGAAATCAAAAGTATCATAATTATTTATTCTTTTTAATAATTAGACAAATAATACATAATATTTAATGAGTTTATAGGTAGATTTTGATTTTAATCATATAGCCTGAGTTTTTAATAGACTAAACAAATTAATATAAATATTTTAGAATAATTTGATTTATATAAATAAAATAAAATTTGGAGAATGAGAATAAAAATACTGAAAGATTGACTAATCGACTATGATAGAAAACATAAAATTAGTAAGAATAATCAAATTATTAAGATTGTATTAAATTAGCTATATAAATAATTTCTTGTATTATTTAGCTGAGTAAATGTAAACTGAGTATATGAATTGTATAATTTATTTAAAAAAGAAATAATATTATTTAATATTTTGATATGCTTAAATTATCATATTTTTTCTTAGAATGTGCTATCTGATTTAGTTACTTTTTTATAATCGGCTTGTTAATAAATGTTATAGGATGTTCCCTTAGGATACCAATTTTCATCTAGATATAAAAGTATGAATAATATAAACCTTCCATTTCTAATTATTCTTAGATATCATCCTAAGATTTCCATAATTCTTTTCTACAATTAGGATTTCTAGGGGATGGAAAAACTCTATCACTTTCAGGAATATTAAATTGATCTTCAATACCAACCATTTCACCTCCCCCTAAACAATATAAAATATTTCTGAATACATTCACATTCATATTCAAACCAAGTATTAGGTACACCTAAATCTAAATCACCTGTTGGTTTAATCATAGGATCTGACCATAAGAAAATTTCCCAATGATAATCTATCAATTCTCTCACTGGTGCAAATCCAACAGGTAGTTTAGCCAAATCTTCTAACACTTATACATTCCAAAGTATTTCAACTTTCTCTCCTTTAGAATTCGTCACAACTTATCTAGCTACATAAACACTGTTTGGAACATAATCAACATCGAAACCACAATTATAAACTAGATATGCAAAATCCACTTATTCTTATGGTGTTAAACCCATATTCAAAATCTTTTCAACTTCTCTTCTAGTAATTCCTAATTATTTTTAATCTATTTATTACCTGGTACTCTTCTCATAATTTCATCTGGATCCATTTAACAACTCCATGTACCTTATCTACCAATTGAAGTGTTTTACCAAACAGCTCTTACGTCTTCCATACTATTAAATATTATTAAACATTTAATACGTATATGGACCATCATATGGAGGTAAAGGACCAGATTGTCTGACAGGATTTACATGTCTAACATTTCGCACTTTAACATTATCAATAATATATACCTGGAAGAGGTACTTATTATGATTTAGCAATATCTGCTATTTCTTTGTTAGATTAGAAAAAGTTTGGGTTCAAATAATGTCGATATCTATTGGGATTATAAGGTCCATCTATTTTATAACTATTATCATGTTACTTCTAGATGAAAATGTATATTGAGGTAATGCTTTACGAAAACCTATGTTTATTGCACGATTAAGCATATCTATATATAAAATAAAATATTTATAAATGTTTATAAAACAATTATTAACATAAATTTATAGCTTCTCTCAAAAACATTCATATAATCTAAATCATTTTTATGTCTTCTATTTATTTCTCTTATTCAATACTTCTATATTCTATATTTTAACTTTAATTCAATCAACAAAAATTAATATTTTTTAGAACACTCAAAAAAATGGACACAAATTATTCTATTATCATTACAAATTATGATGATTATTCAAATGTTCCTTATGAAAAAATATTCAATCCACAAACTTCTATATAAAAAGTATTAGAAGAATTTTAGCTTGATGATGCATATATAATCAATCATGAAAAAAAAATTATCTAACCTCAAACTAAATTGTCAGAATTGAAATAAACAGAAGAAAATAAAATTTTATTCTAAAAATAAAGCAATAATGAGGAAGTTTTAAAAGATTGTGTTAGAATAAAATACTATACAAAAGAATAAGAATCCAATTAATGTCAAATAATATGGGAAATTTAACAATCTCTATATCCACCAATAGTTTATTTCTCTTTATAAAAAGGATTCAGATGCATTATTCATAAAAATAAAAAGATTTAAAATTGTGATTTACTTTTTTAGAATCTAAAAAATAATGAGAATGAAAATGAAGTACTTGAATTTAGTGTTTTAAATAATGATTTACAGGAAGATGAAATTTTAGTAATCATATTCTCTAATTAAATGAGAAATTAGGTAGGTTCTTATCAATGGAAATTTAATCGGAATATAATTATTAATCACTAAAATCAATAGAATTAAATATTTGAAATCGAAGAATAAATCTTATATTTTGGAGTTGAAAAAAGATCAGCTACTGTTAAAAGTATTCTTGATAAATTAAATAAATAAAATCAAATAGCTTTTTAAAGTGGAAAAGGTTCATTGGATCCCTAATAGACTTTAAATCATTATTTCAAAACAGAATTGTAGTGTAAATTATTAATTATCGAAAATATTTATCAACCCTTAATAATATAATAATAAGATATGATGATTGTAGTTAATATCATTTAAAATGGTTAATTATTGATGAGAAAATAGTTTGATTAATCAACAAAAAAAGATTAAATTGAAAATAGTTTATTAAATGAAAAGAAAATTAAAGGTTTAGGATTAATTGATTTCTATTTTGATGATAATTTGATTAGTGATTATGACAGTCTAGGTGATTTAATTTTTGATAATAAAAAAGAAATAAATTTAGAAATATTTGATAGATATACAGATCTAGATTAAATGGAAGATTTTGTATTGAATACATTAAATGAAATTAGAGAAGCTAAAAAAAAGTAATAAAAAAATGAATAAGGTTCTGTTAATCTAATATACAAGAAGATTATCTAACCTGAAAGGATTGTAAATAGAATTTGTAAAATAATTGAAAAATAAAAGTACAATAATAAACAACAAGATTCATTATTAGTAGTTCTGAATGGTTGTGAACAAAGTAACTTAATAAAATGAATAGAAGACTTATAATAATTATAAAATATTTTTTTTTATTTTTCTAATCAATTGTAGTTAAAGTCTTTAATTGTAATATTAAAATGTAAAACAATTTGTTAGATTATAAATAGGATGAATAGGCTATAAAAAAAATAATAGATAAAGAAATAAATGGGAAATCTAAAAGTTTATTTGATCCTAACACTTATTATACTTAGTTTTAAAATTTAACTTCAGATAGTTTATAAAAATGTGAAAAATCATCAACATAGAAGGGTGCAAAAGAAATGAATGAATGTATAAAATTATAATCAATTGAGTTAAGGCATAAGTTATAACTTAAGATAAAGTAATTGAAGCAATAAGAGCAGCAAATTTTGTAGAAATTTAGAATGTCAATTTTAGATTCAAAAAGCTGCTAAAAGAAATTTTGGAATAAATAGCAGAATAATTGGGAAATATATTTAAGAATGAATATTTAAAATTATGGTTAGAATGGAAAAGTGCAAAGATAGCATTATAAGAAAAAGAAGTCAAATTGAAGAATTCAGAAATGTCTTAATAATTATAAGAATAAGAACTTATTTAAATAAGAACAGAATTTACAGCATAAACTGCTTTTCTAAGTTTGAATAAGGAGCTTGAAACAAATCTTAAGAATTTAGAGAAAGAAAATACTAATTTGAAAGAGAGTTTAAAGCATCTTAATTTATATTGTAATGAATTGAAATAGAGTAATGAAGAACTTAATAAAAATTTAAAGAAGCTAGAGTAATAATATGAAGAGGCAAAATAGAAATATGAACAAGAAATAAATTAATTGAAGGAACGTGAATTAAATTTAATAAAGGCTAATAAGGATCTTGTTGATTTTAACAACTAATTATAATCATAATTAGATAAGTATAGAAATTTATATGAATTGTAAAACCAGAGAAATAATGATTTAACTGATTAAGTTAGATATTGGAAATCAACTCATTAATAAAGATTAACGGATTTATAATAATCAGAATAAAGAATAGGATCATAGAAAGGTTATCTTTTTAAATACAGAAGAGAAGTATAAGACTTAAAAAGATTCAAATTGTATAGTGAGGAGGCTTAAAAGGAATTATCAAATGCTAGATAGACAGTTCATTAATTAAATTAATAGACAGAATAATTAAGATTTAATTATGAAAATGTAATTCAGCAAAATTAAAATATTTAGACTGAGAAAACAGAAAATTTAAATTAAATATTATTGAAAAATGCTAAATAAACTAAAATGACTAATAATGAAACAAATGTTTTTTATGAGTAGCCATAAAAAACTAAATTTGATTTTCACAGTGTAAAAAAGATTACACAACCATCAATTGATGAATAAACATAGTTTGTAGTAAGTTATACAAAAGTTCCAATGTATTCTAGAACTAAAACAAGAAGTGTTAGTGCATAGAAAAATTCTTAATCAGAGACAGATACATCAAAAAATAATATAGGAGGATTATAAGAATTTGAATTGCTTACACCATTTACAGAGAGTACACTAAATTAATTTAATTGTAATTCTGCATCAAAACATTCTTCAAGTAAAAATAAAAGAATAAAAAGATAAAATACATAAAGTTGATTCACTAGAATTATATATATATTTATATAAAGCATGTAATGGCTGAATAATAAAATCAAAATATAATCATTAATTTGTTTTTTCACTTTCTTTTCGAACAGATTATTGGGTATTATCTACTTCTAGATATGAATCCAATGTGAGATTAGATTCTTCATGTAATCTGTATTTATGTATTTTTGTAATAGAATAGGATAAGGAAGGATCAAATTTGATGAATTTCATACAATTGCTTATAAGAACAACAATAATTGATGATAAAGACATCGATGCAGATGATATCATAGGTGATATCGTTAATCCTTGTCCATAGAAAACACCTGCTGCAATAGCTAAAATTAATATATTTAAATAATATTTACGTGCCATAAATAAATTATAAGCAAAAGCCCATATCAAATTTATATAAATTACTTTTAATGCTGTTTTCATCAAATTAATTAGTGATACAATACTCCATAAATTTTCATTTAAAATTATAACATCAGATGCCATAAGATTTAATTGTGATTTAGCATTAATAGCAACACCAATTGAAGCTTCTTAAAGTGAGAGAATATCATTTAATCCATCACCAATCATCATAACTTCTTATTTTTACTTACTCAACTCTTTTAATATAAATTTTTTTCCTTCTGCATCTATTTCAGCATATTAATATATAGATGGAATTCCTAAATATTCTCCTACTGATTATACTGTCTTCTTTGAATCGCCAGATAATATATAAACAGTCTTATTCAATTTTTCTCTTAAATATGTTATTACAGCTTTAGCTTCAGGTCTTAAATTAGTTTTATTATCCAAACATAGTATTACTTCTGGAATACTATCTATTGTCATTATTATTACTGTTTTTCCTTTTCTTTCTAAATATTAACATTTTTTTATTATATAATCTTCTAGTATTGCTTCATTATCAGTTAAATGAAAAAGATTTCCAATCAAACATTTAAACTAAGTTTTATCTGTTGTTCTAGTTACATTTCCAATTATTCCATTTTTTTATAATTTTGGTTAATCTGTAAGAACAAATGTACTTTATTTTCCAATTTGTCTTTAAATAGATTCTTTAAATAATAATGTTGCAATTGGATGATGGAAATCCTTTTCTAAAACTCCAATAATAGACCATAAATCTTAAACTGATAATGTCTAATTAAATTTAAGATTTGATTATATTTATCCTTCTTAAATTTATAATTCTCTTTTTGTATCTATAGGATCAGACATAATTAATGATTTTTAGAATTATTTAACTTTCATTACAGTTTAATCATTATTCTTTAAACAAATTTCTGTTTGATTCTTAGATAAAAGAGTAAAAGATTCAATATGATCTACTTTTGTGAACAAAGTCCCTGTCTTATCAAATATAATACAGTTTACTTTACTAATTAATTCAAATATTGTATTCTAAGAATTATAATTATTATATACCTTTTTTATTAATATTCCGGATCTTAAAGCTAAATTTAAAGTTATGATTACAACAGATGGTACTGCAAGTCCTAAAGCACAAGGACATGATGCAACCAATATTGAAATAGATCTTTCAAAAGGAAAACACCAAACACAATATTCATCAATTTCTACTATTTCAAATCCTATTAAAAATGTCCAAACAAAAAACACCAATAGACTAACACAAATTACTCCCAAAACAAATCTTTACGATAATTATTATAACATGGCTGAAATTCCTAAATCCTTACTTTCCCTTTCTGATTATGCTAAATTTAATTATTCTGCTATTTAAAATAGCATAGATGATTCAATTACTTATTCAATCTAAAAGATACATGAACCCTCTAAAATATCAGCACCAGATTTCAATCTAGTACCTAATGAACCTGAAAATCTATCATCTTATCCATAACAAATTGAATCAATTACTACTACAGTACCTTTGACTATTACTCCATCCAATAATAATTTCATTCCCTTCTCAAGAATTATTAAATCTCCTTTCTCTAATAAAGATATATCACAATTCTCTTAAACATTAATATCATAATCCTAATTTTTTACTTATACCTTAAGAACATTTGGTGTCTTTAGTAATTGATCTTAAGGAAATATTTAATTCTGCATATCTAAAATTGTTTATTTAGCCTTTCCTTCAAAATATTTTCCAATTGTAATTACTGTAAGTATTAATCCAGCTGATTCTAAATCATGAATTATATTCATTATTCTTTCTAATTACATAGCTTGATTCATCTTCTCCTCTTAATTTTAATTACCTTCAATTGTGTATACTATTATTAAAAATAAACTCATAGAAAATGCAGCTAATGAACCAAGTGTCAATAATGTATCCATATTAAACATTCTAAATAATAAAAATGATAGAGATACTTATATTTGAAGAATAATTGATAAGCATTCCTATATATTGGTGTACCAAATATAATTAGAGTAAAACTTGTCATAAAAAATATGACTATTAAATAAACACTAAAAATAGATTCTTCATGAGGATATGATAAGAAAGGGTTATAATAATCAATATGAGGCATGATTGAACAAAATAATAAGAATTACACACTTAAAATTATTGCTAAAATGAATTTCCTATAAGTAATAATTTCTATATATCCTTCTTTCTTCTTAAATTTCTCAAGTAGAGCATTGTAAACAAAAAAAGATCTATTTTTATGAATTATAGGCTATTTTTCATTGATGAAACTCTCAATATTTGATTTTATCTACTATCCTGATATCAACAATGGTTAATATTATATCATCATTAATTAACCTTACTTTTTAAAATGTATTAAATAAAATTATACTTGTTTATTATAAATAAAATTTTCTTCTTAAATTTCACCAAGTCCACCTTGATACTATTAACGAAGATTGTCTTTAATTAAATTCAAATCTTGTTATGGGAAGTTTGAATTAGGAAAAAAGAATTAACATCTCCTTAATTAATTGGAGTCAGTATTAATTAGTCTTGGTTAACCTACTATAAAAAAGTGATTTTGTTCCAAAATTTGTTTAATTTAGTTAAGTGTTCTATAGACATGCATAATTTAAATACATAATCAATTAATTAAATGAAATGATTACTCTTTCAGCCATTACATTCACTTGAACATACAAAATACCTTGAATTTGGTGAAATAATTTATACCTTTTTAACCTTCAAAACTAGATTTTATCTTATTACTACACATTGTACACCATATCTTTGAGACAGTTAAATCATAAACAACAATATCTGATTGCATAAATAATATAATAATTATATAATAATGTCACAAATTTGCAATCATGAGAGTTGTATAAAATCATCTCTCCTTGGTTTAAGATAAGGTATATATTATGGAGGAAAGATAAGATTCTTTCATGCTTTAGTTATGACTTTTCTTTTTAGACCTGGATCAATCAAATCCAAATTCATCACTGTTATTCAGTTGACGTACTAACATGCAAAAAATCTTGGCATTTTTGTTTTCCTCTATAAATCAATAGTTTGTATTCTAAATAACATAAGAAAGAAATAGACAAAACTTCATAATCTAATAAGTGGAGCTATTTGTGGATATCTCGTTTTTGGAAGAAATAAATCTGCTGTCAATTAATAAATTGTTCTTTATGTTATGAGTAGAGTAATTATAGGTTTGGCCTCAAACATTTAGAGAAGAAAACTATTACCTTAATCATGGGATGCATTCCCATTACAAGCAGCTATTGTTTGGGGATTAGTCATGTTACTATTTGAAGATGATAAAGGATGTTTACAGAATTCATTAACTTCTAGCATGACCTTTTTATATAAAGATAGTGATAGATCTTATTCAAATTGGGCTGAACTAATACCATTTGAAATGCCAGACTTTTTATCATTTCTTTGGAAATGATTAAATTAATTATAGTCTAACTTTATTTTTTATATTTTTTCAATTTTATCATTCATTCTACTCCACTTAATATCAACATAAATTATCAAATACAATTAACAATCAATATATAAATAAAATTACCATATTGCTTTATTCATTTAATTCTTATTTTCTAAGACTTAAATTCTTTTAAATTATATAACTTATTATAAATTTAATTCTTGTGCTTCCAATATTTAAAGCTTCTATTTCTTTTTTATAAGCTTATTTTTTAATAAATAATATTGTAATCAATTTTAGCTCTTAATTCAGAATGTTTTTACCTCTTTATCAAATTGTGAATTATTAAAAACTCAGGAAAAAATAAGAATTAACAACTTTTTTAATTAAATCCATAACTTTTTTGCTATTATTTTTCCTTTCTAGTTCTAATTAGTAGTTTTATTCCCTATTAATAGTCATTGAATAAAAAACTCAAATAATCCTATTGCTATTTCAAAAGGCTTGACTATTTATGTAAATAAATATTTTTATGTTATTTCATATTTTTGACTTAATATTCTTGGGTTAACTTCATCAATATTTCTTAAATGTGAAAAAAATTTTTTAATCTTCAAATAATTACAAAAAATTTTAATATTTTACACATTTTAAAAAATACTCCTTTTTAGTTGATATCCCAAAATATTATCAAATAATATTTTGATAATCTTATTGATAAAAAAATCTTCTTCAAATTTATATAATTATCATCCTAGATTTTTTATAATTATTTGATTTAATATAATATTAAACAAAAGCTTTTATTAAATAACAGTAAATTATTTGATATTTAATAAATAATTTAGATTATCTGATATTATTATTAAAGCATATAGAATAAAATAGGCTGTATCAATTTATATAAATTTATCATTAGCTATCGAAGCAATTTTAATTTTTCTTAAGGATGTAAAATATAAATGAAGGAATACCATTTAAATATAATGCTTCTAAGCATTATTAAGCAAAATGTTTATAATACAATTTCTATCCTGTTTTCGAAAATTTTAGAAATTTATACATTTATTATATCCTATGCAAATCAGTAAAGAAAAGATCATGAATAATAGAGATAATTATTTTGTAACCTTATCATAAATGGAACTATGTATATTCATTTGGGTCCTTTTTCATTCAATTTTAATTAATTTAATAATTTATACTTAAAATATTAACAAATTTTATTTCTCATTAATTATCTTATTGATTTCTTGTAAAACTACCTGGAAGTACAATTTATTTCTTTATTAAAAATTAATCTTCTTTTGTAAAACCTAATTGTGAAAGCCTTCTATTGAAGTTTGTTCTTATGATGGCTTCATCCAAATATAAATTCATTAATTATATATCCTTAATAAATTCATTATAAAGTAGCTTTTGTTCATCCTTATTGCACATATTTATAATTCTCTTAGATTTCTAGTTAAATTAAGTAAACAATAAAGTTTTTTCCTTTTTAATATCCATTCTTTCTTATAATATTTATGACTTCCGATTTTCAGATTAAAGAGTCTGTTCTTAACTCTCTACCTAATATCTTGATTTAGGAAGAGGATAATTTTTAGAAGTGTTGAATAACTATTATTCAAGCATTGAACTTATCCTTTTCTTTTATGATCTTATTTAATATTTATTTTTTAATTGATCCTCCTCTAGATTATGATTATGTCTCACTTTTGCTTCATTTATTTTTGATTTAATAAAATCGTTAGCTTTCTATTTGAATGCAGTATAAATGTCTTCTTCCAAATATTCTGTTGAATTTAAATCAATTCCATATTGTAATACAATCTTTAAGAGTTCTTTATCATAATCTATTTATGCTATCTTCTACTATTAATTCTAAGTTCCTCTTCTCTCATCTCCCTTATCTTAATGATTTGTACTAAGCGATACTTTTCCAAGTTTCTATATAAAATTCTCTGTTTCTTCTTTCTCTTTTTTTATTTATTCTATATGATCTTCAACATGATAATAAAATAAGTTTTAATCATACTGAGATTTTGTCTATTAATCTCTGCTTGAAATTTATTCGCATTTAGTTTAAAATTAACTTATCGACCTCTTACCAATGTCTTACAATTTCTCCTAAGGCAATAACTTAGTTTTATGTATTGGAACCTTAGCCAATCCTAAATCTAAAAAACAATCACTATCTAAAAATGCTTAATCAAATCCTGTTTCAAACTTTACCTCATATTATTCATAAATCTTTTCTAAATCTGCTTCTTCTTAACCTAATTGTCTTGCTATTTTCCTTCTTATTAGATAATTCTTTACTGATTCTAATAAATCTCTATTGTTTAAAATATTCATTTTCTTTAACCTAGTTTTTGTATCAACAAATGTATCAAGTATCTTAAATTATTACAATTAACGATTAAATCTAATTATAATTCAATACATTACCTAGCATCTGGAGTATTATTTATTAGTTTAAGCTTTGCCTTTACTTTATTTACCAAATTTATTACTCTATCTGTATTAGATCCATCTTGATAATCCTATTAAATCTTTGTATGCTAAAATGTTTAAATATTTGGCAAAGCATCATTCAGTTTCTAGAATTTCAGATTTTTTGTCATTCAGTATATTTTCTTACAAATTTAATTTATCATATCCCTTACTAATAAATTTTATAAATTTATAATAAAATAAATGTATAATGCCATTCAACAAACCTTAATTTGTACTATTACTTTCTTTTACTTAAATTTTTTTATTTCTAAAAATGAACCATAAAAATAAACACCATATAATGATATTATATTCATTCTATTTATAAAAGAAAGAAATAAATTATATATAAATTTCGTTTGTTTAATTTTTAGAACGAGCTCGGCTTCCGGAATAGGAGCCTTGCCCGCAACCCATTAAATAGGTTTAAACTTGGATAGGTTTTGCATCATTGAAAGAACCCTAATTTAGGATTAAGTCTTATAAAAAATAAACTTTTTCTTATATATATAATTATTAATTTTAAATTTATGGGTTTATGATTCATATTCATATATCAAAAATTAAATTTATAGACTTTCCTTAATTTGATTTATATAAGAATGTTTACAAATATATATATATATCAATATATTAGTTTTAATGCTTTGTTCTAAAATTCTCATTTTCTCATGTTGTAATGAATGGATCTTTAACTATTTATATAAGACAAACTGTATAATAAATATCATTAATGTTAAATACTAAAAGAATAATCAAAATGAAACATAAACTCATCAATACCTAATGATGGAATAATATTAACTGATCTCTACTAGTGCAGTTATGAATTACTAAATATATTATTCAAGTGTA